ATTTTAGCTTTCTTTTTTAATAACTAGAATTTAGAAAAACGAAAATAATATTTCAAAAAGTTTTTTAATATCGTAAATTACGTCTTTCCAAACTTTAGTAATAAAACTATTTAAAAAAATATCTTTTTTATTAAATAAAATATAAATAAAATATTAAATTCTTTTTAAATTTAGTTTTATATAATAGAAAAAGATTCTTCTTCTTATAAATTTAAATAATATAAAATTTGGATTATATAAATTCTAAATTTTTGAATTAATAATGGAATTTAGGAATAAAAAATCCTTTTAAAATAATTTAATTAATTCGTTTTATTTTTCGATATATTTCTTTATTCTTCCTTTTTTAATTATTATACATATATTCTTTAATTCAATTTTATAAATTTGTTTTATATATTTATTTAATCTAATTATTAATATTATTAATATATTGAATATAGTTAATATAATTTTATAATTATTCTTTAGTTTTTTAGCTTTAATTCATTTAGAATATCTATTATCTTTTCTTTATTTTGAAAATATAATAATAAAAATTCCCAAAATATAATAAAAGATCTTAGAAGATAATAGGAGTTTATAGAAAATAATAAAAGTTTATAAAAAATGTTATAAATTAATAAATATATATAGAATATAATATAACTTAATAATAAATTAAATAAAAGTTAGCAGAAAATAATAAAAGTTTCTAGAAATTAATAGAAATGAATATAACAGAATTTTTTTTTTATAAACTAATAATTGAATATATATTTTATTTTCATTTTAGTTTTATTTTAGTTTATTTATAATTTATATAATAAACTTTATTTATATTTAAAAGCAATTTTAATATATTATATAAAAACAAAGAATTATTATACTATTATTATTTTAAAAAAATAGTATTTGATTATTTATTTTTTAATAAAAACATTATTAATAGAAATATAAATAATATAATAAGATTACTAAAATTAATGGAATCTTTAGAATATATATAATTATATAGATTAATAAATAAAAATAATAAATTAAAAAAAGAAAATAATTATTATTATAAAATATTGATTTTCAAAAATATATGTTTTTGATATATATATATATAATTGAATAAAATTATTATAATAAAAAATATATTAAAATAATAAGAAAATCTATTTGTATATATTGAAATGATATTAAAATAATATAATTATTAAGTGATTTATAATCTTTAATTAAAAAATTGAAAAATAATAAATTATTGATTTTTCTATCAAAACTGAAACCAAATTGTTTCAAACCCTACAGTGATAAATCTTCGGGAAGCCTTTGCCTCGAAATCAAGGCCAAAAATTATGTAATCACCGTGTGGTCTGAGGATGAGATAAACTCTAGCAGTTACCATTTATTGTACGTAAGACTGTCTGTCATAAGCTTGGAAATGTAGCCATGAAGAGCAAGCAAGAGCAATAGTTTTTGATAGTGTCGCCTTCATGGTTAGTATCTCAAGTGTGATATAATGTGTATGGAGGATAGTGAGGGACTTCCAGCTGTGATTTCAATGAAAGATAATAGCAGCCTCACAGGTATCGGCTGTTATTGAAGATGGAGGTGAAAATATGGTCCTTCAGTAAGATTCGAGAATCTAGACAACTAAGATATTCAAGAGTTCCACCGCAAGGTTAGCATCGTGATGATAAAAGACAACCAGTTCCAAGTTAAAGACAATACTGGCAGACCGACGACAACGATGACTGAATACACTATATACTAAAGCTCCTCACATAAACCTGAAATGAGAGTATTCAAAGATCCTGAATCAAACTTGTTGCGATACGAGTGAATATACGCACGTGAGCGCTAGCTCACTAGCGTACGCATGTATTGCATATAGCTTTCGTAGCTCTAGAACCTATAATAGATTAGACACAATATCAATGAATACAGCATAATCACCACCGAGGTGATACCAACAAAACTCTTTGGCGTCATCTCGATTCTGCCGCCATCCAACGAAAGTATAAGTATTTCCACTCACGATAGTGTGTGAATTGAGAATTGGAGAGTATTATACCTGAGAAGAATAATTCTCTTCTCAGTGTTATGATCTTTTTGCAAGTCTTTCACTCAAAAGCTAACTTATATTGAAGTATGGCTTCACAATATCAGTGCTACTGATACTCCCGGTGTGTAGCCTTCGGTTGGTAGATTAGCGAAATATAGATTCACAAACATGTGTACATAACTCGAACAAGTGCATAAACCTAATTTGATAGCTCGGGTATGCGGAAGTCAGTATCTTGCTTGTCACATGAATCTGTAGAGTAATATTGTATGAATCACGAGGTTTAAATTTGATTGATGTATTGAAACTGTTGCTTGAGTGAGTAAGAACACTTTCGAAAGTGCTGGCTGATAGTAACAATGGGCTGAACTAGTACTAATTCCAAGACAACAACAACATTACATATCGCCTTGATTTTTCAACTGGTGGAGCAAGTTGCATTCCATTGTATTAGACTTCACATTCAATGGGACTAGCCAGATAAAAAGGTTACTTGGCTTCAAGGAGCTAAAGGGTGATAGCTGCTTTAAATATACGCGAGATTTAGACGTGAGACATGAGTGGAAGACCTAAATACCTTGCAGAGTAGTGGTATTTAATAAAAATTTCTTCCGCTGATTGATTTCCATATTTACCAAAGAGTTTTGTTAATAGTAGGTTAAATCATGCAGCTCTTGTACTCCGTGTGAATTCAACATGCAGATCACGATCCTAACCGGAAATTGGTAGATTTTATGAAATTATTTCATCCCAAACGAAAATATGACACCAGAGATGATGGCGACAATATTCAAGAGACAATGAGAACAAGCAACAACCGCCTATAGCTTTCACATTCCCTCAGAAATAACGAGCAAACACAGTTGGATATTCACACACCACGAGACATCAAACTACATCTTACATCTGTAAAAATCATGTCACACCTCCCACCTAGTTACCGGACCCGGTCAGAATCCGTGTTTCGGAGATATTAACAACAAATCCAAACAGGGATTTGTATACATCACTCACGCAGGATTCTTACAAAATCCTCAACGGAACTCCCTTCGATCTTTCAGTCTTCTGAAAAATGATGCTCTTTCCTTTTAAATGAGCCAAATATTGCAATCCTGAACTCTGCGCAACTATAAATTCCCAGATAGACGCTCTCGGGTAGATGAATTCCTCTGACCCATTATCACATTCAAGATCTAACATCAAGCCAGTCGTTAGCTACACTACTCAAGACACGCTCCCAGACCGCTGCCCGGTTTAAACAGAGTCAGATCTTTAATAGGATGGGGGTGCGATACGATAAAATTAATTCCGAAATCCTCGCCTGCTTTAAGGGATATGTCGAAATCAATAATACTCATCTACTGATGTAAAGAACTCGAAGACTGACAGTGAGCAACCATCGAAGAAGAACTACACATATAACTCTTCAGCACAGCTCACATTCTTCCCTTCAACCAGTAAGCTACACAATCGCAAATTCCTCACCCTCTCGCCTTTCCTTACTGCTCCTTGATTCCTCCTGTGGCAATTCCTCTTTCATCTACTTCCTCCACATCCATAGAGTACATCAACTTATATCCGGCCATATAACTCAAGATCCCTCAAGTAGAAGATGTAAAATTCCAAGCGAGTCCACTAGGAATTTATATACGAAATTATTCTAAATGGCCAGCTTCCAATGCACAACTTGGAGATAAAGATACCCTATTAATAATCTTTCTGCCCAATTCACCTCGATTATGTATAAAGAGACCAAGTATTCAAGCATACGAAAAAGCACTTTTCTCACCAAGTAGAAGAAAATGGAACGCAGGTCGGAATTTCCATGAGGTATCTAGGGAATGATCTGAGATACTGAGTAATGCTTGCCTGTAAGTGGGCTTTGTGCACAGTAGATGAACGAAATAATATGGTATGAATATAAAAATAAGCTTTATTGTCGAGTAGTCTTATCGAAATCCCATTATCTATTTCTATTAACACAAATATTGTCCACTGACAACAAAAGTTGCGATTCTACACCAATAATAACAATAGCAACAAACAATTGATCATCATACAAACCTTGAAATCACACTCCCATCCATGATCAAAACCAAAGATCACCTCAAAAGACAGGTAATTTAGTTGTGTATAATGAGTTGTATTCTCTTAGTAGGGTAGCAAAGGAGATAGTCTCTTTATCCTTCACTTTATTACTAATCTATGAAAAATCCCCCCTCCAATCTTCGCCTTCCTTCTACCATCCCATCTATCCATCCCCTTACCAAAACCAGTCTCGCCAATCACTCATTTCAAACCCTAAATCCATACCCCTAAAAATACTCAACAAGAGATCATCTCACACCTCACAATCGAAATTCATCCGCCAAGAATGACTCAAACTCAGTTTCCTCCACACCCCCAGGATCTCACAGTCGACTCTCATCACATGTACAAAGATAGGGTCGGTCTATCTGATCCAAGCACACGTGTAGTAGCAAAAGAAAGAAAAGGACTGAAATCGCAGTCGAAAGTGTCGTGTTCTTGCCTGTCTCTTTTCCCTGCATTTAGAATTGCCGAACATCTCTACCCACCCTGCCTAGAGATAATGAGTTTACACGTACCCAAATATTCACCTAGAACGCAATCGAGACTGTGGGGCCCGAAGATCTTGTTTTCTTACACATTTCTTAAGTTTGGGGTTAGAGATGGAGAACGTTTTTATAGTTAGATAGTATGATAAGTCAATCAATGCTCTACGATAATTTGCATCTTCGTTCGGTTACTAGGTTGTTAGAGCAAATAACCAAGATAAGTCTCGAATATCCGATATTCACAAACTTACATACAGTTATTTAAGACCACATCTTCATGTTCTCAAAGTCAAGAATTCTTTGATTTCAAGTAGAGAAATTCACACAATTGTCGCTTCGCACTGTTATCAAAATAAAGATTATGATGACCATAACTATCAACATCGATCTCAATCCCGAACATCAAATCTCAACCTCTTATCTCCTCCTTCCCTACCTCCGTCCTTACACGTTCCCCCACGACCACTGAATCCCATCCTCCTATTCCTCCCCTCTCCCCTCCAGCTCCTCACCGGCTTTCCAAATTCCCCACACTCCCCACTCCCCACTCCCCACTCCCCACTCATTTCCATTTCCATTTCCCTCCGTAAACTTCTTCCTCTTGACTTCCTAACCGGTTTTGCCCAACTAAATATTCCTCTTCTCTCAACTACTACCCATGTATTCCTCCTCCTCCTCCTCCTCCTCCCTCTCCTCCTTCTATTCCCTCCTCTTTCCCATTCGCGACTTTTATTTCTCCTATCATAATCATAATTATCGTTCCATTTCTTATCCCTTTCTCTTCTCATCCTTCTATAAGTCCTTTCTCTCCCGCTCCTCCTTTCTCTCACTACTGCTTTATCCGGCCGCCTAATCTCATCACCATCACCATCATCACATTCACACCTCATTTCCCATTCCCCTCCACCCCCACCTCTCGCACCACTTTTCCAAACCCTTCCTCGTTCTCCTCCACTATCTCTCCTATCTCCATAGACCATTTCACCCCCATCCCCATCTCCATCTGCACCATACCTCGCAGCCCAGCCCGCAGATCGTCTATCTGCACAGCACATATACCCAAACACCAACAACACCAGAAAACCCAATATAGAACCCAATACAATCCCTGCAATCGCACCACTGCTCAAATTCGTAGCCTCCCCTACATTGACTTGTGGCGTCGTCGATCTAGGATCCAGAACAGCAACCGGACTTGTGACTGATCTGATGGTAGCGAAGTGATCTTCAAGCTTTGAAGCAGTGCATAAATCGAGAAGAACGATAGTGGTAGAAGATCCATCTCTTCGAGTGATATTCTTTATCATCTCTTTCGAAACACGAGGAAAACTCATCGCGCGAGGAATATTTCGAGTCTGTCGGTCCATAGGAGCCATCTTAATCGTGAGTGGTGGGGTGATTAGAATTTACCAAGCAGGCTTTGAGAAAGTTCCGAACTTTATCGGTCGACTATATTCATTGTATTTAACATACAAAATCGACCGAAGGGTTGTGTAACAGTCGTGATGCCTTTCTGAATACGCCCGGTTTCTTTGAAGAAGTTGATAGCCTCATGACGAGGTATCTACACGGTGTGAGTTTTAAGCCGCTTGAAGAGGGGGTGCACAGATTTACAACATTCATCACGGTCAGTTTCTCCAGATGTTAAAATCCGAAGCCATAGATTGGGTAAGTTGCATTGCAATAAACTAATGCTGTCAGCATTGTGTAGCATATATTTCAAGCTGATTTTTCGAGATTCAGAGGCATATGTACGAGGAGGCTGAAGAAGGTAAAGGTTACATGCAGCCGATGAACGACTTGAAAATCCTGGTTACTCTCTCATCATAGTATCTCTACCAATTTTGATCATAGTTATTACCAGGTTGACCAGTATAAGCAGGAAGATCTCCATCCAATAATGTTTGCCAATATTCCCAGTCCATAGGAGTGATATCAGGCATTGAAGTATCAAGGAATGAATCTGAAGCGAGCCATGGTTGTTCTTGGGGCATTTGCATTGGCATTTGCATTGAGGGTCCTGGTTGTGGTGGTTGTGGTGGTGGTATGTAATCAGGTGGCTTTTGTCTAACATAAGATTCGGCTGTAGCTGGCATTTGCCAGTGATTAACCGTTCTGAATGGATCCGAAATATCATCATGTTGTTCTATAGATCTTTGAACTTGGTCGTGCTTTTGTCTTTGAGATCTTAAGATTGATATAAACCTTGGCGGGGTAACTTGATCTGGTGAACGACTACCTTCTTCTCTTTTCTCCCAGGCTTTGAGTACTAGATTACCTAAGGCAAAGTATAAGCTACTTTTAGTATCGTTAAGCATTTCTGCGCGAAACTCATATGCAAGTTCGACTTGTTGCCATGCTTTATCAACTAATTCTCCCCTTTCCCTACGTCGAAGTTCGCTGAGCAAGTATATAAAAGCGTCCAATTGAAAATGCACATGAATATGCCACAGATATCTTTGAACAAGCTTCTCGGAATGACCTAATCCATCATATTCAAGCATCTTCAATGATTCGTTGAAAAGCATATCTCTTTCCTTCTGTGGCATACTCGCACCTTTATCGGGATATTGTCTTGGATGATGAGCCATTAATCTCATTGTACAAATGACTGATTTTGCGACATATATCGATAGCAAATGTAAAGGTATCGATGGATCACAGTATTGCAAGTACTTCTCCTGGAGTCTTGCCTCCAATTCGTCAATAGTTTTATCCTTTTCGGCAATGACATTGGAACCAGGAGGAATATCTGAAGGACCACCACCGTGATGGCCCCCACCTCTATGACCACCACGGCCACCTCCCCCATGTCCATGTCCATGTCCATGTCCACGTGCCCCATTGCCAAAGCTATTAGCTTTTCGTATAGCTTGTGAAACTTCATATCGAATACAGCAGAAAAGCATTTCAGTTGCACCTGCGCGCTCGGGTGGAGGTTCTATCATGTCGGGGGTAAGATCGCTATCGCTAACATTTAGTGGTAACTTTGTATCGAATTTTGCGAGCCACTACGTAATATCAAGTCAGTAAGTCTTGAATGTAGATGAGAAATGACTACGAGCTGAATGAAGAGATGTAAATCTGTAGTGAGAAGACCTGCAAGGCCGAGAGTAGATGAATATCGAGGATATACTTACGGCGGGGAATCCAGCTCCACACAGTTTCGCAGCAAAACCATCAAGGAAAACAATCTGCCACCAAACTCTTCTTCTCATTTCTGTGTCGAAAGGAGATAAATTATGAGACGATCCATCACGATGGATACCCAGTCTTTGACCAATTCGAACGGCAGAACCCGTCAAAATCCAAAATGCATGAGCATCATAATGCTTACGAGCTGCAAGCTATTTATTTGAAGTCAGTCGAGAAGTAGAAGGGTCATCTGAGTATGTCAGAGAAAGATGGTGGGGTCGTTTAGGTCATTCGGTTCGAGTAAAAGGAGACGAGGGGTGTTGATTATCACTTACAAGAAATAAACAGTAAGCTTGTAAAGAAGTCAAATTGAGAGATTTGATATATTTGACATTGATAAGAGCTTGTTGAGTGGCATGAGAATATCTCGATAAAAGTATTGATCTTGGTTCATTAAATGTACTTTCACATTCATCGTCTTTGAGCGATCCGATAGATAGGAGGTATATAACGAACATTAAGGCTTCTGTAGGTTTCGGAATATGATCCATATCTGATGTTGCTTCTAAAATCATCTCTTGAACTGTAGGAGCATGAAACAGTTTGATCAATGGATTTACATTGGTCAAAAAATTTTGCCATAACCTGAAGATTGTGACAGGTTGTGGATGAAGACTTCTGAGATTTCTTTTTGAGCTGATCAAGTTGCCAAGAAGAATTGTTGATTCCTCGGGAAAGAGAGGGTTGTCATTGCTATCATCTTCTTCCGATGAGACTTGAAATGCTTCCTTTGGATCTTGTAATTCATTGCTGAGATTCTCCCAGACGGTACTAGAACTAGTTAGCAATGCATTTGAATGACCTAGTCGGGTAACAGAAGTACAACGAGAGCTACCCACTTTTCTATGTAACGAGAGTTACCATGTTTAGAGTACAATCGACCTCTTCCAGCTTTAGAACCACGAGCACAGCCCATAGAACGATGCCCATGTGATTCGTGAGAATTACGGTTACATCGATGTTTATGTGAACCATGGTGATTATCGATATGTTCGGTCCCGGTTGCTGTAGTAGTAGCTGGATCTTTACCTTTATTGGCTATCGAAAGGTTTTGTGGATTAGGATTGGGCGTCTTTTCTTGGCGAATTGAAATTGATTCATCAGCATTTCCGTCTTCAGTGCCACTTGCATTTGCACTTCCAACACCACCAGTAACACCATCGTCTTCGATTCGAATTCCGTTAACTCTCAATAAATGTTCATATTTCCGTAATCTTGCTGCGACATCTAATTCGCTAAGCTTCCGTCTCCTTCGACGTGGAGCAGCAGGTGTACTTGGAATACACTCAGCATGTGCTTTGACGCAATTTGAACATTGAGGTTTTTGCCGGTCGCATCGCACTTTTCTCTGCTGACAGAGAATACAAGAATGACCACGAGTTATCTTTTGATGAATTGGTTGGGCTGGAGGGGTTGGTATAGTCGGACCCGGAGGTTGAGGAGTTGATTCCATAATGATATGAAGATATGAAGATATACAACATATGAAGATCCAAGTCACCCTAGCCGTACCCTACGAGAGAGAGGATGATTGATGTGATGAAAGGGTCGTGAGTTGACGATGTAGTTGAATAACTTGACTCGTATTGTATTCGTATGTACCTACCACATTCGTATCCAATGGCCGGAGGTTCGGAACCGTCGGGAGTTTGGATCCAAACTATCAACGCCAGCCTTTCCTTGCTGACTTTTTTCCTTTTGCCTTTGGATAGGACAAATGCGTGATCGGATGTTTCAATGTGAATGAAGTCTTCCAAATCATATAAATACCCTTTGGGGTAATATCAAGTGATATATATGGGAAGAAGTAAGAATATTCTGAATTGAATAGTATTCAATATTGGTAAAATGATTGTACAAGACTACAAGTGGTGGTGGTGGTGGTGTATACTTGGTATGATGTATGTATTGATGATGGTGCTTTGGTTCTTGGGATCAATTTCTTGAGGTGTCGGGTGTCGGGTGTCGGGTGTCGGAGGTTCGGCGTCTCTTCGGTCCCGACAATGTTCTTTCCTTAATTGTTCAACCTTTTTTAAAGCTTTCTTATTGGATGAAGAGAAGGAAGAAAGACTTGTGAGCTTTGTGAGCCTTGTGAGCCTTGTGAGCCTTGTGAACCTCGTTATTGCTTCATTTGGTAGAATGTTCTTGTGAAAGTAACAGGACAACATTTTTCATCTGTTGAATGGTAGAAAAACCATTGAATTTCATCATCTTCTGTCAAATCTATCTTCCTCTTTGATCCCTCTATAAGCTGTGTATACCTGTCCATTCAGGTTTTCATAACAATGCAACTCTCATACTATTGACTTTATCATTCTACTCTCCTCTAATTGAAAGGCTTGTTGAAATCTTACTATCTTAAGATTTGGGTGAGCAGCGAGTCTATCAGCCTTCTGTTCTCACCTTTTCTTCTTCCAATACTTCCCTCGCCAAACCATCTTGACATGATTTTCTCGCACACACAACATTAAAATCGAGGATCAAAAAAGTACCAATTGGTCGTTACTCTAATTCGATTCAGAATCCAAGTCCTATAAACATCGTACGTGCTTCAATTATGCTTTCTCGTCCATCACCCCAAGGTCAACGACTTGATCTTATAAGCTTCCTAGCTCAAGATCCATTGCCAGCTTCGATTTCTCACATTGCATCTGAAATCCAATTCTTGAGAGAATGCCCTCAAGTAACTACTAACAAGAGAAAGGCCAAGATGGTCCGTCCTGTGATCGAATCGGATAATTCTGGTGAATCCGCAGCAGTCAGCTCCTTCGGTGTTCCTTTATCAACCACTTCCAATCGCAATGGTCGAGTCAATCGCTGGGGAACTAGAGTCGACGATGCGAATGGACAATATCCTGGGTTAGGAAAAATGGTTTTCACTATGTTGTCTCTCTACCTGATTACGCTGATTGTAGCTCTTGTAAGTCCTTTCCTTTGCAGACGCGAATTCATCTCATATCCCTCGAATTTTACCCTTGATTGTTCCTTCTACTTCCAACCCATTTCATATATCTTCTCTTTCTCAATATCTCTTTGGCTCAGAACATCCTAAGACCTCTCAAACAATGCAAACTGTTATTTCTACATACTGCAACTCCGAACTGCAACTCCGAACTTCCAACATCTTCCGTTTATGAGCAATGTAGTGATACTAACAAAACTTAGGATCGAACAATTGTTAGGGCTAGTTTGGATATACAAATCCGCACTAAATCCGCTGAATATTCCGTACTTTTTGAAAGCGGATTTTGAATTTATATTTGAATGTTAAATCGCGGATTCTATTGAATAATTCATATTTCAATGAATTTAGTATATTTTGAAATGAGGAAAGGGTGGATTACTCTAAAATGATACTAAATAATCCGTGTTTTTCAATAAATTTGTATAGGAAAATAAAAACGTGGATTAAAAACGAGGACTAGAAAAAATAGGCTTCATTAAATCCACTAAAATAATTCATTCTTTTTATAGGCCTTTATAGGCTTTAAAATCTAAAGCTTTAATAAATAAAGTCTGAAGTTATAGTGAATAAAGTTTGAAGTTATAGGCTTATATTGAATTAAAATTTATAATTGTATATAAATTTAAATGAAACTATTCCCATATTTGTTTATTTAGTGTTATACTTTTATCACGTGTAGTTACTAAATTAGCTTAGCTTAGATTAGCTAATCCTGGGCCAATATCTTGGCCCTTAGTATCATTCTAATTCTACATCTTTTATTCCATACTTAAACTTTACAAATGGTAATAAGTTTTGTTTTGAATACAAAAATAAACTATTAATATTTGTATTAGATTATTTTCATTTTAATATTGTATTTCTTATAATCAAACCTTTTTTTAAAACCCTTTTTAAACTATCAGAAAATCTTTTACTTGCAATGTCTGATTGCTATTATAAATTTAATTGTATTTTGGTGGGGTAACAAATGTAGTAATAGTAATGCTTAGTAACTCAATTATCAAATCAAGAGTTTAATCAGATATATTTTTTTAAGAGATTATTGCAAAAACAAAACTACTCAATTCCTTTTTTATTCAATAGTTTAAAGCTTGTGATAAATTATTAGTTTAATAGTAAGATATAATCACTTAATTTCTATTGAATTCAAGTGTAAATAATTAAATAATACCTTCCTTCTTATAAGAACTTTTATTAAATAATATCTTTTTATTATCGAATAATCCTTAATAAATATCTTATATATTAGTTAACTAATTTAACAATTATAATTGGGTTATTGAAGCAGCTTAAGGTATTATTAATATCTTATTCATTCTATAAACTACAAGGTAAGATCAATCTTCTATAATATTTAATGTATTTCTATTAATATAGTCCTTATTTGTAAATAATATTAATAATAATATTATTATAAATAAAATAAAGTCTTTAATTATAATCTTTATTACAGAACAATTCCAATAATTATTATATACTATACAAGCTCCTATATAATCAAATCTTATATTAATAATTACTTTATATTTCTGCTCTCAAGATCTAGGTTATTTTGAATTGGATAATAAAACAGAAATATTTATTGGAATTATAAATAATAATTTGGTTTTTTATAATATATATTTGTTTATTGCTTATATAAAAACTAAATTATTAAATATTACCAAGAGATTATTTACTGTTTATCTTATTACCTTCTAGTTTAATTAATATTTGTGGGGAAAGGTGGAATTGTGATATATTAATAAGATATTTAATATAATACAAATTAAACTAAAAGCCAATATTGAAAATTAGTATACCAAATTGGAAATTCGTTTTTGTATATTATTAAATATAGCTTTTGAAAAGTTAAAAAAATTCAAATATATTATTAGAAATATATATTAATATAAGAATTCCGAAGAGTTTATTTAAAATATTATAGTATTTGGTTGGAATATAGGTACTATTGAATCTGAATATACTCAAATATTTATTGTTTATTAATATTTAACTATAAAATTTCATATTTATATATTTATTTCTATAATAGAGATAAATTTATTAATCTTTATAAAACAAATTGGACAAAAGAAGAATAATTAGTTTAATATTTATTACCTCAATTTCCTAAATAATTGTTTATTTGATTAATATAATAATAAGTGTTTTTCTTTTAATAAATTATAATACTAAAATGATTATGGATTTACTTATTCCTTCCCATTTTCTAAGAATTCTTTTAGTTTTTATTAAAAATATAATACTAATAAGATAAAAATTGATATTAAATAAGATATTTTTTTATTAAACAAAAAGCTATATTGGAAACAAAATTCCAAATGGGATTAAAAGATTAATAAAGCGAGAATCTATAATTCTAAAAAAAATAAAATAGAAAAGACTATTAGTATAAACAAAAAAGCAGAAAATTATAAAAACTATATATATAATCAAATTTACTATTAAGAATTGAAAAGTTATTATAAGAAATTGAATTCTGATTCTAATATTAATAGCAAGGAGATGGAGATGTAATATATTTATTTAATTCAAAACTCTTTTCTAATCTCATCTAAATCTTTATATATTAGAATATTAATTAATATAAAATCCAAAGCTATATATTAAAAAAATATTCAAGATTTTCGTTTTAATGAAGAAAGTCGAAAATCAAGGCCTATCTCTTTGAATTCTGATTTCAGATATGTATTAAATAGTATTAAGTTATTTTGAAATATAAGAATTTATAAAGCCAAATATTAATATTATAATTATAATAAGATATTTTGGATAGGAAATAAGCTATATAGTTATTTTAGAAATTAGTATGGAAAATACAAATTTGCGAAATTCTCTATTTTATCTAAAATCAATGATTTATTGAGAAATACGTCTTTCTATACTTTATAACTTATTAATCAGTTTGAGCGAAATATTACAGTAATTGACTCTAGAGAATCTTTTTTGATTTAATCTAAACTTCAAGTGATTTACTCAATAGCTGATATAAGTAGATTCCTATTAGATTATGCCTTTAGAGATTGAAGATATACTGAAATTAAAATATTATTAGGCAATTCTCAAAATAAAGTATATCTGATTTGCCTTAATATAAATTACAATATAAATCTAATTAATTATACTTTTCTATTCAAAACATATTTTATTATAGAGATTTATACTATAGATAAGATTATAAATATTTGTAATCTAGGTTTTCAAAAATATAATATAAATTAATTTGTAAATCTGGATTTCTATCTATTAATAATAAATAGTATTATAATTTATTTCTATTATAAAATCTATATTATTAATTAATTAAATATTAAAATCTTAATGAAAAATAATATTATTATTTTAAAAGGATGAATTATCAATTTTAATAATAGAATTTTGATTTTATTTTAATATATAGATTTATAACTTAAGATTATAATATAATTAAAAGAAACTAAAAGAAAAATCTTAATTTATATAAAGAATAAAGTTATTATCTTATTTTAATTGTAAGCTTTTGTAATTACTATTAACAGAAAAAACAATGAATTATCTTTTTCAATTTATAATATAATTTATAAATTATTATATTAAAAAAACTTTATATCTTTCGTATACTTAATATCTAATAAACTCAATATAATTATAATCGAAAATCCTATAAATAAAAAGATAGTATTATATAAAAATTTGAAGCTTAAAGATATTATAGATTCTAATACTTAGGTAATAATAATTATAAATAAGATTAATATTTATTATTTAGTTCAAATATTAATTATTATTTTTGTATCTAAGAAATATTTTTTAGCTAAGGGATTACTTATAATTATAATAATTATAATCTTATAAATAATTAGTAATATAAATAATATCCTAGAACAAATAAGAGTTAATAATTTAGGAATTATTAAGTATAAGATTGATCTATCAAATAGAATTATAATTTATAAGAATAAAAAGCAAAAAGAATAGCTAAAGGAATTAATTGAAATTAATATTATAATTTAAAAAAATCGGAAAGATTTTGTAAATGTATTAAAAAATGAAGAAATAAAAATCGATTTGTATAAAAATTGGGAAAAAAAGTTTAAATTGGGAAAAGCAAAGGTGTATTCTATAAATCAAAAAGATTAGATTCTTATAAACAAAATCTATAATAAGTTTTATAAGCAAGATTATTTTAAATAAATAATAAAACTAATTCTATTTAGTTTTCTAGTTTTTTATATATAAAAGAAAGTAATTAATAATAAAGGAATTATATCAAAGAAAGACAGGGTAATTATAGATATTCGTATATTAAATCAAATTACAATTTCTGATATATATTCAATTCCTATACAAATCAATATTATTATAACTATAGCTGGATATCCTTTCATTTCCATTATCGATTATACTAGCTTTTTCTATTAATAGTATGTCAAAGAGGAGCATCAGAAATACTTAATCGTATTATCTCATTATGGTCAAGAAACATTTACTTGCGTAGTAATAGAATTCAGAAATTCTTCAGTTTATATTCAGAAACATATCAATATTGTCCTTAGAGCAAAAAGAGATTTCGTATAAGCTTATATTAATAATATTATCATTTTTAGTTATATATTTAAGGATCATCTAATATATCTTTAACAAGTTTTTCTATAACTCAAAAATACAAATATTATTTTAAATCCTAAGAAATATTATCTAGTTTATTCATCTATTATTTTACTTGGTTAAAAAGTAGATACTCTTGGGCTTATATTTATAGAAAATAAGCTTTTTGTTATTCAAATTTTAGTTTTTCCTTAATCTTTAAAACAACTCGAATACTACCTCGGTTTAATTAGTTATTTATAGTAATATATACTTTATTATACAAAATTATCAGTAGTGCTATAATAACAAAAATGCTAACTGAATTGCTTATTATATGATCATAGAGATAATACTATTATTAAAACAAAAAGAAAGAAATCGGCTGTTATATTGAAACTTAAGAATATTATCATTAAAGAAAGAAATTCATTCAATAATTTGTAGTTTACCTTCAAGAAATCTTCAATCTTATATTACTTTAACCCTGAAAAAAAGCTATATATTAATATAGATATATTTAAGAAAGGAATAGATAATATAGTTTACCATTTTGCAGTCGATTCGCTAATTCAGAAGTCTATTATACTAATCATATTTCTCTTCCAGCTTATTATATTCATTGAATCTAATTATTAGCTAATAGAATTAGAGATTACAGGCTTATATTAAATAATTTCTAGAATTCGGCATTTAATTAAATTATTAAAATTTTCTATAGTGATATATATAAATCATTCTATGAATATTTAGATTGCTATTTAGACTTTTATAAATATATTCTTCTTAATTCAACTGAATCTTTACTATTTATGAAGTTCTGAACATCTTTCTCGATTTCGCCTCAAAGTATAATATAAACCTAAATGCCTCAATATTGTATTAAATGCTTTATTGCAATTTCATATTATTGAAAAAGAAATGGAAAAGTAGAAATCTATTTAGATGGATTATATTTATAATATTAAAATAATAGAAACTATTATCTATTCTATAACTATACTGTAAATTGGAGAGGTATGGCTATAGAAACTTAGGCAGGTATATATATTAAATCCGTGGTATATTAAACTAATCAATTAAATCAAGAAGAATAATGGATTAGAAATTAATACTATAGAATTACCTTTTGAACTAAAAAGAGGTATTCTATATACAAAAGCTAATATAATATATTCTCAAAAAAAACTAGTTATATCTAAATCTTTGGAGAATAAAATATTCAGTTATATACATAATCAATTAGGTTATTCTAATTATAATCGAATTCACAAAAGAGTTTCTTCCAGTTTTTATATTTTTAATATTTCCAAAAAACTGTAAGCTTTCCTTTATTATTATTATTAATATAGAATATCATTAATCTCCAGATATTAGCTCTATAAATCACTATAATTTATTCTAATTTCCCTATATATCTTTTATATAATTTCTATTGATTTTATTTTGATTTTATTTAAATCAATATTTAATTTATTTAATTATATATTATCAATTATTGATAAGCTTTTTAAAGCGATTATTTTGATTCCCAGAAAAAATATTTGGATAATAGTTTAATAAAGAAATTCTTTAATTCAATATTTACTTTTAATATTATAAGGAGTATTATATATAATAATATCCGATTGGGATAAGAAATTTGTATTTGAAATATAAAAAGGAATTATAGACTTATTGAGTATTAAATTACTATTCAATATAATTTAATATTCTTAAACAAATAGGAATAGTAAATAAACTAATCAGACTATTAAGATTATATTCCAATATTATCTTTATACTTTGAATAAGATCTCATAATAATTAATAATTCTATCTTATTTATTTATAGCTTTATCAAATTTTATATCTTAAGATATAAATATTACTATTATTATAATAATATACAAATCTAGGATTAAAAAGCCTTTTAATATTATAATAAAAGTAATTATAGAGTTATCAAAAATACTACCCTAAAAAACTAGATTCGAATTTATAACAAAACAAACAGCCAAGATATACCTAATGAAACCTACTAATAATACTAAATATAAGCTAGTAATAATTGAAACAATTAATACTATTAAGTTTACAATTATATTTATAAAATATTACTTTAATCAGCAATACAAATCTATATTCTTTAAGGTTAAAGATTATATTTCTTTAAGATTATATTAAAAATATAATATACCTAATATTACGGATAGAAATATAAAGATTGAGCAATAATTCATAGGTTTATTTAAAGTGTTAAAAAGAATTGGATATTTAATTTATTAAATTGAGCTATTCAAATCTATGAGAATATATTTAATTATTAATGTTACATATCTTGAATTTATATTAGATCCTATATAAGATTTCTATTATTGCTTTTTTGTATAAAAGATTCTATAAAACTCAAAATTGACTTTGAAATGAATTCTATATAAAAGAGTATAATATAAAAGAAAAGGAGAAGAAATAATTAAGTATCTAATTCGTTTTTTAGAAAAAGAAGTGGAATAGAATAAATAGATATTAAATAAAAGAATTTCAAAGGAACTAATTAGGGTTTTTAAGGAATAGTTATATATAAATTTAAGAAAAAATATAAAAACTAAATATATTTTTGCTTTAGAACAAAGTATTCTTTTATTTATAGTATTTGTTATACTTTTATCATATATAGTTATTAAATTAGCTTAGCTTAGATTAGCTAATCCTGGGCTAATATCTTGGCCCTTGGCACCATTCTAATTCTACATCTTTTATTCCATACTTAAACCTCACATTTAGTTATTTAAATAGTGATAGTATATTGAAAATTCGAATTACCCCATCTAATTTGTATATATGCTATATATATACTTCACTTCCTTTTATTTCGATGGATTTTATAATGGATTTGATATATAAACCATAAACCACAAATTAATAATCCGCTCTTTTTGAAATGGATTACTACTATTACGGATTCTGCAATAATATAAAAAGCGGATTATTTCAGTGGATTCAGCGCGGATTTTGTAATCAAACGAGCCCTTAATACTGCTATCCCAGCTATCACCAATGAATTCAACACACTTGAAGATGTCGGATGGTATGCATCTGCATATCTTTTAACAAGCTGTGCTACTCAAATGGGTTTTGGAAAAATCTACAAGTTCTATAACTATAAATGGGTTCTCATGATCGCAGTTGTCATTTTTGAGGCTGGGGTAAGTGGTTCTTCTACACATGTGTCTGCCACCATTTTGATTCATATTTACCTAGTCTGCTGTGTGTGGCTTCGCCTCAAACTCGAAGGTCTTCATTGTTGGTAGAGCGATTGGTAAGTCTTCCTCTGTCCTTTTCATACCAATCTTTGGAACTGACACGGTGAAGCTGGCCTAGGTTCTTCGGGTATCCGTAAGTGCGATTGATCCATGACTTAAGTTTCTCTGTTTTAGATTCTGCAAAAGCTTTCACATGCAACACCATCGTTGAGTTGTGTTGTTTTTCTTCTCCTTCTCACGCTCCCCGAAACGTTCCTTAGCAAGACAACCACTGACCATTTGAATTGGTAGTCAATGGAGCTATACTGATTCTGAACGAAACCGTGCCACTTCATCGTCGCCCTATTTTCATGAGTGAGAGATACAAACCACTGGGAAACTCAAGTGTCTCAAGCTAACATAAAAACAAAGGTTTATTATGGTGTATGTTCGCTATCGCCACTGTGTGTGGACCTTTGATCGGAGGCGTCTTCACCGAGAAAGTCACTTGGAGATGGTGCTTCTACATTAACCTGCCAGTGGGCGGAGCTGCTGCATCCATTCTACTCTTCGTTGTCAAAGGGAAATCTAGGAAAAATTCGGACACTTTTCTCCAGAAGCTTCGAAGAATGGATCCCATCGGAATACTCGTTTTCATTGCAGGTATCGTTTCTATACTTCTAGCATTGCAATATGGAGGCGCTCATTACAGCTTTGGAGATACAAGAAGCATCCTCCTCTTCATTTTGGGTGGCATTTTACTTATAACCTTCGTCACTATCCGATTCACGTCCGGAGATGATGCAACAGTGCCAATTCGAATTATCAAGCAAAGATCTGTTGCTTCGGTAGCATGGTTTTCTCTATTTAACTCATGTTCTTTCTATCTTGTTGTCTACTACATTCCAATCTGGTTTCAAGCTGTTCAAGGCCTTGACCCATTCGATTCTGGTCTTCATACACTCCCACTGGTCTTAGCTCTGGTCTTCGCTACCCTATTCGCGGTAACATTCCAAAGATCCATTGGCTACTATGTTCCAATGATTATTGTATCATCAATTATCGCACCGGTTGGCGCAGGACTTCTCATCACATTACAAGTAAATAGCGGACCAAAAGAATGGATGAGTTGGCCGGTTGTCTTTGGATCGGGTCTCGGCTTAGGTATACAGCAGATCAGTTTGGCTGTTCAAGAATGTCTTCCACATGACGATGTGCCAATTGGTCTTGCACTTATACCTTTTTTCCAATCTCTTGGCGATACAGTTTTCGTCTCGGTTGGTCAAGCCATCTTCTCTCATGAATTGGTCAAAAATCTCTCGGCCCTCAATCTTCCCTCCTTACCAACCTCACTTATCTTACACACAGGTGCTACAGAACTCCGAACTCTCATTCCAGCACAATATCTCCCAGACGTTTTGACAGCATATAACGCAGCTATCATGAAGGTATTCTTTGTGGCTATCATTACAAGTGCTCTTACGATTCTTACCGGTCTAACTTTGGAATGGAAAAATGTTAATAAAGTCAAGAAAAACTTTGAAGGTACAAGAAGATCGATTTATCAATATCATGGTGAAGGAGATTATCCATTTCCTTTGTATGATTCTGGCAGCTCTGAACACGTACAACCTGGACTTGTCGATACACAGAGCAAGCCTTTTATGGAAACAAAACTTGGCAGTGATCTTCAACAACAATTGGAAACTATTAGGGAGGAACGAGAAAAATCTAGCTCTGGTGAGACCAATTCTCATGTCATCCAAACTTCTACCGATATGAAGACCAATGTAGTTGGAGTTCCAGATAAGAATCAGGATGAGATTAAAATTGTGGGATGAGTGGACATGTTTTGTTTGTGGAGGAATAAATGAGAAATGATGGATATGAGATGAGATAATGGAGTACTTTTTTACGATAGCTTGATCTTTACGCTTCTAGTCAAGATGGTAGAATTGCTTTTTTGTACATAACATGAGGCATAAAATAGTAGTCTGCGATAATGTATGAAAGGATAATTGCAATCTTGAAGTCTTCTAATTAATCTCTTGTGACTTTGGGTTTTGGGGGTAGAGAAGAAAGTTAGGCTGCGAATGTTACCGTCTCTTGAGTATTCAGTTGTGGAATCGCTAAATCATCTTTTTGAGCCCCTTTTACTCTTCGTTTCTCACTTCGAAAAAAATGGGGTGGTGATCAACCTGTTTGTTATGAATTATTATATTAACAAAATAGTTTCTTTTTCTTTGTTTGACTTGTTCACATCATCTCATAATCCTCCCCTCTCACCCTCCTCTTCCCCGTACTCCCAAAAACCCCCTTAATCCCCCTCCCCCACCTCTTCCACACCCCCCTCCCCTTTCCCCTCCCCTCCCCCCTCTCCCCCTCCTGTTCCTCCCTGAAAAACCTCTCCCAATACCCCTCCCAGCCCTCCCAAAACCCCACACATCCCTCATCCCAGCCCCCCCAATACAACACCTCCCCCATCCAACTCGGCATCGCTTCCTCCCTCACTCCCTGCTCCTCGCTCAATTCTTGCACCACGAGCTTCTTCATCTCTTCGCCTTTTTCGCGGAGCTCGATGTTCAGGAGCGAGATTCGATGGGTGAGTTTTTGACGCGCGACTTCGTTTTCATAAGCGCATAGCGCGAGGTGTCCGTAGCGTCGGGATCGCAGGAGTTTGTTGTAGAGGTGTTGGTCGAGGTGGGAGAGGGAGGAGAGGGGGGGTTGGGTGGGTGGTTTGCGAAGGGAGGGAGAATTGGTTTGGATGTGGGAAGAGGGTGAGAGAGAAGATGATGGGGATAGTGAGTGATAGGGTGAAGAGGGTGTAGGACATGATCGGGATTGGGATTGGAATTGGAATTGAGATTGAAGATATGGTTTGTCAGGGTGTGAATGGAAATAGTCTATTATCTGCGCATCGAGAGTTTCTTGGTAGGATTCTAAAGATGGGGTTTCGGGGGCGTGGAGAGATTTGGGGGATGAGTAGGAGGTAGAGTAGGTATGGCCGGATGGAGATTGAGATGTATGGTTTGAGTACGTATATTCAGATGGAGATGCATGGTTCGAATACTCGGAGTTGGAGTCGGAGTCGGATTCTATTGTATAGATAGAAGCGGGAGGGGTAGGAGGCTTCCTGTGGGAAGTCTTGGGTTTTTTTTGAGGAGTTGGGGTTAGGATATGTGAATTTGAATCTAAATTTGAATGGTTTTTTAAAGATGGATCTTGGAGTGTTTTCTTGGTATTTGCTTTCGATGGCATATTGAATCTGATAACCCCAAGAAAAATAATAATTGATTAATGAAGGATTGATAGAGATAGATACAGATTATGGAAGTTTTTCACAGGGTGAAATATGCAATATATGGAGAAAATTATATACACGAAATAAGTATATCGAATTCTGACTTCGGTCGGCTGTGGAGGCTATATATGACATTATATTATTCTTCTACCTGTGTTTTCTAGGCCGTGTATTGCCAACAAGACGACGGGTGGTCAGACATTGGGTCAATAAAACAGAATTTTTATTTCCGTCATAGTGAGGCCGGAATAGAGACCGGATGTTCTGTAGGGCTGAGATCTCGGTTCTTGAATAGCTCATGGAGTGGGTACTTTCGGGGTCATAGAATAGGTCGGGGAAGAGAAATAGATAGTTTGAGCCGAGACGAAGCTCCTAGAAAATAAACTACAAATGCGGGACAACCGTTGTCCAATCCGGCGTCCCATACGCGCCAACAGGCAACTTCCTGATACTAATAAACGCCTCGACCACCAAGTAAATTCTCGCAACCACATATGAGATACCACAGACTGTACACAAAAACCCAATCACCAAAAAACTACACCAATCTTCTTTCAAAGCTAGAAAACGATCCCAGAACTGATCGACGGGCTTGATAGCTCGAGCAAGCCCATTGATACATAACCATGATATTCCAGAAAAAGCAATATATACAGCGCTGGCTCTCCACATCCATTGTTCGAAGCAGGAGGGAAAATAATCATACCAGGCCGCTGCATGCACGGCTCCGAACGCAATGCTGGCTAGCCATAATGTCATACCCATCACGAGACCACCAGTGCTACGGAGAAGATCTTCACCGGGCCAGTTGCCCGCGGAGAGAGAGACTAGTTGTTCGATTAGAGGCTTGTGGATTTGATGGGTGGGCTGACCAGGAGAAGCTGGAATGGCGTTGATAGTGAAACTGGAGCGGAGCGCAGGGTGGGTATGGATTGCTTTTGCTGCTAGTTACCAACGGGTATGTTGCTCGAGACTAGCGTTAAGTAGGTATTTAGTATTTTCTGTTTGATCGGGATCTCGTTTGGAAGAACCGTTGGCGTTTAGGTCTGATCTTGACGGGACAAAGAATCCAAATGTAGATATTTGCGCTGATTCATATAATTCGGTAGTTGCTGCATTGATTTCAAAGGTATGAGATTTCTCTGGGATGAGGCTAGAGGGCGTTCTCTGGATTTTGAGTCCCTCCTGAAGTCCATCAGACGCCATCGGAGGTACATATGCAAACCTGGAAAGTTCAGAGTCCTTCCACGATCTTTTGAGAATGCCAGGATGTTTGCTATCATGTCCACTGATCTGACTACTCATATACATATACGCACACAAAGGCCTGACCCAATCTCCCTCGAGTTTCGTGGGTACCATTATAGAACGTGGCTTATGCCACCACAATAGATAGATAATGAATCACAGAGAACGTGTCCCAGTGTATTTACTTCCAAAAAGGTGACTGGGAGCCCAGTAACAAGTCGTCCAATAACTTGTACTAGCATCCATCCAGCTTGAAGAATAACGAGGAGTTTCGCCATGGTATCTGCTTTGCTTTTATCCAATATTTCGCGTCTGGTTATGTCTGGAAGGTAGCCGCATTCTGCAAGTAGGTTGACACCACACGCAGTAAGCGTTAGACGTTGATAATTGGGGATAAATTGAGGGGTATTGTCCTCGGAATTTTCAAAATCGAAAACAAATCCACCCATGCCGGCGTAAAAACCATGAACGATGGTCCATGGTGAAATTATATCTTGTAATTCAACTCTGGTCGATTTCTTGTCAAGCTAATAATTGTAAGTAACTTGAGCAGTCACTCTCCTGATAAATTGTACTGGCCATGGAAAGGCAAATCCTCCTTTCCGCACGGAACCGGAAATATAGCTCAGAATGAAAGAGAATATTCAAGGGTACATACCTCTGAGGATTTTGTATGAGACTGTTCAGTCGGAAACGGCGTCACAGCCTCAGCAATTCTATCTTGAACCAAAGCTTTCAAAGCAGTTGCAGAATTATACTGTCTCCAAGCCGCAAAAACCACCAACTCTGGAGTAAAAATACCTACAACACCCCATTTGATTCCTCTTATAAACTCTTGAATCGTAAGATGATAAGGTCTTGGAATATTAAGATGCATTGCCGACCAAACACAAAGTGATAATGTCAATAGACAAGAAACGACGAGGGAAAATGTAACTCGTCCATTGGGGTCTGACACCCAGCCAGTGGTTGCCTCGTTGCTTGGTTTAAGAAATGGCGCACATGTTGATATACCGAATAAAAAGAAATAGAACAAGAGAGAAGATGTGAATAATAGCATCGTGATGGTAACAGCGAGCGACTAGTTTGTACTTCGCGCGAAATCTAGTGGGCCCATACCTTGGGACTTAACATCACTTAATGTTATTTCTCAACTCATATATCTAATTTCATCGACATTGACTGTGCCTCAATTGTTTCATGAATAAATATAATATGATTTTGTATTGGACAAAATGCGAATGTAACCCAAAGAATATTCTGCAGGACACCCTCCAACATAAGGTTTCCCATGTAGAATTGGTCGTTACCCACAAAGAAGCAACATCACTGATCTAAATTTACAAGTGTGTATGCCAAAAAAATACCTATCACACACTGCTGAAATTTACGGAACACGGATGCTACACTTTGGGGCATAAGCGCCGGCTAGGGTTGTATGCAAGATTGAACAGAAACGGAAGGTTGCGTTAAGATTCCTCGCGCTGCTCACGTGATATAAGTCGAAGAGCTGACCTCTTTTTTTTCCTTGTATTTCTTTGTGAAGTATTGATAAATACAGCCCTATTGCTTTGTTTTGTTGCATACGTGCGTTGCTTGTTGTGAAGTTAGTTGTTGCGTTTTTCAAAGATGTTGTCAAGACCAGTACAACGTTCTGATAAGAGGAGTCAAAACACCATCAAAGTTGTCGCGGGCCAGCCAGATATTAGTAGCAAAGCAAGACTTCGGGGCAGAGGAAATCTGAGCGGCTATAATTTAGGAAGTAACCTACTCGAATGGCATGAGCTTCGTGAGTTCCTTTGAATTGTCCGTGGGCTTTACAATGACTGACAGTGTGCTGGAGAAAATTGGCAGCAGTTAGTTTGCTCTCCAGAATTCTTAAAATGAGAATTAGCTGATTTGTTTCTTACCCTAGAGACAATGAATACATATTATCAGGATATAGGTCACTTCGTCCTTGTACATCATGAATTCGTCATCATGCGTCTGAAAGAACATAGACGTGCCTCAAATTCATTTCTCACGTCTCTATGGAGCTTATGTTATATACATAACGAGACAAGTAAAGTTGCTTTGTTTGAAAATATTTGAAAACATGGCTAATCAGGAATCGAATGTTCAGTCAACATATACTCTCATCTATTCGGCTCGATTCTCTTCGCTTCTCTTCCATTTTCTCTCTATAGATAAATCGCTCCGCGCTATGCCACTGCAACGATAGCAGATATCGTCGTGTTCTCGACGTTCTTCTTTGGAGTAGCTATTTGTTTTCTACTTTCAGCTACGTATGTCCAGTGAGCTGCCCAATAGACGCTTCTCTTGGCTGAGGTCGCAATAGTTTCCATCTTCTAGCGAATCACAGTAAGAGAGTTAATACACTTGGCAATCAACTCGATTATCTAGGTGTGGTGATCTTGATGTGGGGTTCCACGATCCCGACTGTTTACTATGGATTTTACTGCGACCCCGCTATTCAGGAAACATATTGGACGATGGTAAATGTGCCCTTATTATCAGAAGAATTGGCTAATAATAAAACCAGATATCTCTCTCGGGACCGGCCTGTGCAGTCACAACTCCCATCCCAGGTTCCGGCATTCAGCTTTTCGTCCATATAGAGCAATTATGTACAGTTGTTTAGGGCTTTCCTCTATCACCTTCGTTATTCATGGTCTCATGCTTTACGGGTATGAAACGCAAAATTGGAGGATGAGTCTAGATTGGTTGGGGATCATGGCTGGGCTCAATTTGTTTGGTGCTTTTGCTTATGCTGCAAGGGTAAGCTAAGTCTTGCATGATTGCCCCATTTGCCTGACAATTTTGCAATTTGACTGCGAGAAGAGATAAGAATTTTAACACTGAGAGCTAACGAGGACATTCATAGATACCAGAGAAATAGTTTCCACGTCGCCACGACATCTTAGGTTCAAGTCATCAGATCCTCCATTTTATGGTTATTTTTGCAGGATTAGCACACATGGCTGGGCTTTTGAGAGCATTTGACCATATACACTCGGAAACATTCCAATGCATTTGATTTGGTTAAAATAATGCGAGAGATTTGCACCACTGTGGTTTGAGGAGAGGGAGCGCAACTGTAAAGGAGCCCAGAAGGTTGCACGTATGAAAGAGGGTGCACATGGTTTTCAAACTTGTCTTCAGACGTCTAGCTAGGAATTAATTGAAATCCAATATTTCCTTGAGAATATTATCAAATATATCTGAATTCACCACTCTGCCGTGAACTGAGATTGTTGACTTTGTGGAAAAATAAGAAAGAGGCTGTCTTGATCTCTTCCCATTGCGTGATCAGATCTAAACTGTAGCAATTGGCCTGCGAGGATTCACCTTGCGATATTTCAGAAGTTCTACTCTTTCTTATTTGCTCGTGTATGCTTTCCTTTCTTTGAGAACCTTTTCGATACCGCGGAAATCATCTGATTAAACCAATAAAAATTCAAAAGCGTCAATATAGTATTCGCTCCCAGATAGGCCCAAGCTAACCATGTTGGTAGCGACAACTCATTGGATTTTCCAGAGAATCTGAAGAGTTCCCATTCTGAAGCACTAAGGGATCCAGGCTCCGGGGCAATTATTGCACTGGGGGTATGGAAAGAGCTCCATATATCCTGATACAATCTTGCAGATTGGTAGAAACCCCACACAAGACGGCATGAGAAGAACATAACGAGGAGTACTATGCCATTGTAAAGTTGTACTTTGGAACCCGTCATATTGAGCTTATCGAAGAACCAGTGAATATTGAGGAATGGGGTGGAGAGTTCGTAAAGGACGAAGTTCAGACCATAATAATCCGCAAATGGTCTCTAAGATTTTTGTTGCGTTAGCTTAATAAAGTATAGTGATGATGGATACGTGTGCAAATAGAAACTAAGAAATAAAACGAAACTCACAAAACCAATGCCAACCACTGAAAGTGCACAGATGGCATGTATCAACGAGCTCCATCCAAGAACACCTAGATGAACAACACTTGCCATCAAATCCCATAAGAAATAACCCATAGCGAAAGCTTGAACAAGACCTCCAGCCCCAGTGTATCCCCATATTCTTCCCCGCCAGTCCATGTCCCATCGTTCATCATCTGTGTCCATTGCACCCACAAGGCCAGTGTACATATCACAGTAGATTGAACGAATGAGACAAAATGGATGTTCCAGCTGATCTTGCCTCGATGGGAAAGCGACGGGTATATTTTGGGAAAGAGTCGAGATGAGATAATTGGGGAGACATAAGTATCGACGACGGTGTAAAAACAAAATGCGATGATTATTTCATGTATGTGGTAAGGCAACGTTTGCAAGTCCAAAAAATCAGCCAAGACTTGCACTTTCGCGACCAAAATTTCAGGTGGAGAGAAGAATAGATCGAGCATTTTGAAAATTGCGTCGTAAAGAATCGAAAAGTTTGTTACATTTCACAGGTACAAATATACTGGTGTGCGGCAAGATGAGCCCTGAACTTTCAGCCTCGCAACGGTAGGACTACCTTGTCTCATCCCCCTTACCCTTGCCAAGAGATCCTTTTTCATTGGAACTCACGACCGAGTGATGCTGCAAGAATATTCGCATCAGCCAAATGAGGCGAGACGCATCTTGCAAGTCGGTAGGCAATTGAACATTGGTTGGATGCGATCCGCCACCAACATCTTTATCCTGTCATACCAGTTCGATTCTTAGAGCGGCAATAGCAGACAGTACACTCGTACAAATCGGAGTATGTAATCGGATGACAGGTAAGTTAAATGATGGATTTCGGTATGTTAACAAAATTGCACGATAGTTGTCTGCATAGAGGTCAAAACCTTAGTTGAGGATTTTCACACGATAAGACCAATAACCTTAGCGACTGTTAGACAAATTATTCAGCGACACAATCCCGAAGTATAACCTTAAGTCTTGTGACCTGGACGCCCGTGACATACCTTACGATTCTTTAACCCTTACGAAATCGCCATACCAAGTTCAAATACATCAATCCACAATTTTTCATCACATCATAAGAAAATCAATTGCATCCTCCGCCCGTTCAAAAGCTTAAGAGAACCTATAATCAGACGATACCAACGTGCAGACGTGTATTCAACCCATGTTATTGAAACTTGGGACGTTTTAAGGTTAAGGTTGTCCGAGTTGACACACCTCCGTGCTTCATGTACTCGCTTGCTTACAATGCCATGGACGGACATGATGGAAGCCGAAGAGAGTTAGAGGTTGGCAACAAGATGAAAAGACTGGATTTCTTTTACATGGGCAGTAATTATGCCGCGTCGCTATCTAGAAGGCGAAATTGTGATTTGGATGTTATTCGAGTATAAGACAGTTGTTGAAGAAAGATATACACACACCTAAAGTTAGGCTAACCCTCTGTCATATGCGAAATTTTGATATCATATAAAGAGACCGAAGACAGAGGCAATGTACACACTATTGAGGCCCAGCCTTACACAAGTTACCCCAATCATCTCCATTTATTAACCTTTAAGCAAGACATCAAACATGATACACACCATCTCAACTTCGAAATATAGTTACATGCCAAGCCTTCACTCCTGTCATCTTATCTCAATCATCATCCGTAGTTTTGGTTCCCGTCAAAAGACCTAACCCCTGGAGTTTTAAACTTCCCTTCCCCAAACACTTCAAAGTCATTTTTGTTACAACCCCAACCTTCATGATGTCCTTGAATATTCTTGGAAGAAGGAACTGTATTGAAGTTCACTCATGTGTATCACCAAGGCTGGGACAATCGGACAAGCATATTGAAGATCATTCAATCTTCGTTTTTTGCTTAATTATGCCTTCTCTCTCCCTCGATGTAGGTTTCGATTTCGTGATATTCACCTCTTGTATTTTACTTTGTCTACTATTTCTTTCTCTCTTCATCATTCTTCCTACTATCTCTTATAACATATACATATTCTTTAATTGTTTTGTCGGCGAGTACGATATACATACATTTTTCATCTTCAAGCGCCAGTCGCCCTCGTTCTATTCTGCTCTATTCTATAATTTTTAGAAAGACTTATTCCTACAGTGGCTCTTTGACTGGTAACCATTCATTTTATCAAAATGCATTTCACTCAGTCTCTCCTTTCCGCCTTGAGTATCAGCACTGTCTATGGTACGTCTTATGCACACCCTCTCTCCAATCCAACTAACCCCCCTCTAGCCGCAGCCAATACAACCGGTTCTCAAACCCATATAGTACGCGTCGGCCAAGCCAACAATAGCACTGCACTTAGATATTTCCCCGACAACATTTCCGCCAAAGTAGGCGATACAATCCAATTCCAATTTGCAGCCGGAAACCACACCGTTACCCAATCTACCTTCGACGCACCCTGCGTTCCTATTAGCCAAAGCACAAATAACATAGGTGTTTACAGTGGCTTTATGAATGTAGCCGCTGGGTTAAATAGTACAGGTATGGTACCAGTATTCAGCATGCCGGTTAAAGTCGCCACACCTTTGTGGTTTTATTGTAGTCAGGGAAAGCATTGTCAAAATGGAATGGTTTTGGTGGTCAACGAGAAGTGAGTCTTCTTCTCTTAATCAACCATATAATTCATACTAATGCCTTGCAGCACGGCAGCAAACTCAACCCGCTCTCTCGCGAACTTCGCAGCACTAGCAGCAAAAGCCACAAAAAATATCGCCCCGACATCCAACGGTACTTCATCTACTTCATCATCCACTTCTTCCACTTCCAACTCGGGCTCGGCGGGATCGTCGGGATCGTCGGGATCAACGGGTTCTTCCTCTGGCTCTTCATCCGGCTCTTCAGGCTCAGATTCTTCATCCACAGCAACAACACTCTCTCCAGCCTCAGGTACATCTTCTAGTAGTAGCGGAGACTCATCCGTAGCTGTAGCTGCATCCGGAACCGCTACTACCAGCACGAGTCTTACAGCCGCTACTGCAAATGCAGGAAATAGATTTGGAGTACAGAATGCGATGGGATATGTGGGTGCACTAGGAGCTGGTGTAATGGTATTGTTGTGAGGATTTATTACTAAGTTGAATGCATGATGGTGCAAAAGAGACGTCTAAAAGATGAGAGAAAAGTAGACTTGGTGGAAATAATGCGGAAAGGAAAAGAAAGATGATTGTTAATGTATCACTATGCATGTATGCATTGTACCGAGATCCTGTGGACGGGACCCGATTATGGCGTAGGAGAGTTGTTCTCTACTTTTTTTTTGGCTAATTCGCTGGATGATCAAGCGATGTATCATGATGAGATAGAATGGATTATGTCTGTCATATCCATATAAACTTTCGTCATCATGTATGTACATGTGAAGTGCTCGTTCATGCTAGAGTCAAATGCCTGAGTCAGAATTGGATAATTCATTGCTTGCCCTCTTGAACAACATTAAAGTTGGAAATAGATGACTCTTTGGCCTCATTCATGAAATCCCATTGTGAGGATATATAACAGATAGTGACCTCATATCACAAAAAAATCGCCCGCTGACACTCCCCTCATATCTCCTGATAACGCCGAATCCCCGCCATGCTACCTTGATAGAGAGAGAAGTTCTCGTACATAAACATTCATACCAGCGAAGGCCTAAATCAGCAAGTTCGCTCTTGAACTTCCAATTACAAATCCGTCTCTCCCCCTCAAAAATCCAACAACAACTGCGGCGCCATCTTCTCCAAATCTTCTACCTCCCAGAACCCACCGCCTCTTCCACTACCCCTCTCCGCATACCTAACCCTCGCAATTGCCTCTCGAACAAAAGTATCCATATATTTTCCCACCGCTTTATTCGCTTCTTTCGAAATCCGCGTATTAGGCTCTGCAAATAACTCGTGCATGATTTTAGAGAGGAGATCATTCGGAATTGTTGTGCGGGTTTCAGAGTCCGAATCTGATTCTTCTGCTGCGTTTTGGTGGGTAGATGATGAGGCGTTGTTGCGAGGAGTAGGACGAGCTGGAGATATCATTTCGAGCTCGGAATCGGAGGATTGGGGATCGCCGTTGTCTTTTGCCTTGGAGCTTGAGGGTTTAGATGTGGATTTAGATGTTGATGTTAATGCTTTGCCTTTGCCTTTTGGTATAGGTGGTTGGGATGCGAATGGGTCGTCGCTATCCTCGTCGACTTCCATTTCATCATTTTTATCCTTCTCCGACTCGGAATCTGAGTCTGAATCTGAGTCTTCGAGTTGAGGGGTGGGAGTTTTGGATACGCGGGACTGCTTGGAAACTGGTGGTTTGATTGTTGATTTAGATTTGGAGATGGTAGATGTGGAAGTCGTGCCTTTGGGACGTCCGCGAGGTTTGGATTGCCCCGAGGGGCGCGGGGGGTTGAATGGTTTTGGGGGCATATTTGTGGGTGGATGGGCAATTGAAAGGGAGATCAAGATGATTGCGAGTTTGCTTATGTATTGTATACGATATATGATGTGCAATGAAGGATGTGGATGTGCATACAGTTGCAGCAGTAATGTCAATCCAAATTCTGTTCGCTGAGAGACGCGACGCGAAATGGAACGTCAACATGTGACGCAAGAATATGCAAATACGGTGACCTTTTCGCTCACACTTCGGAAAATTAAGCAGCATCGACATCAACAACGCAAGAGAGAAATTATAGTATTACTTAGTTTAGTTTGGGCTGTTGAAATAATGAATTATATTTATGAGATGTGCAACAAAACGTCTGAAATGGATGCTAGGGATATGGTAGAGGATGGTGAATTGATGGGAAGGAAAGGGAGGTTCAAAGATTCACTAGAATTGACCTCCCTTTCGTCGGATTTGAGGCGAAAATTTAAGATACTTTGGGTGATCACAGGCGAGTGTATTTTGAAAGAGGCATCTAATAGCTCAGGTCATCCAGACTCTTTAATGAACTGACAGAGTTTCAGCATGAAGTATTGCCAGCATGGCGATTTTTCTCCCTCACACTCTCAAGCCCAGACCTGACGCAGCGTCTTCTCAGGTTTCAGTATCGCAACTTCCAAGATCTTTACTGTACTTATCCATTCTCTTCTCATATGGTAGATGGTGGTCGAAGTTTAGCCATGAATGAATTTCGCGTAATCTGAATCAATACAAAAGGGGACTGTGCTTGGTCTGGTTGCTTCAACAATATCTCGCGAAGATTGGGATTTCTCTTTGCCACTCACATACCATACGAATCAACTCGCAGCACCATAAATCATATCAATCCATCAATCTTAGCAAATTAAGTACTAAAATATATTATAACTATCTTCTACACACTACATAAACATGAACTAAACGACAGCTGACTGTAATGCCCGCGGATATATATGCAAAATAAACAAAAGAAAACTTTTGGGCCACGCCAAGTCCATAAGGTTAAAAGGTATCTATCTATCTTCCGTTTCCTTTGTCGGTGCAATCATCAAACACACTCTATACCAACGCCGTTTTCTTGCTGTTCGGAGTGAGATTTATGGATATTACCCACCACGCACAAATGCCTCGCTCACTATACCTCCCTCCATCCTTCCCCCCCTTCTTCAGCTTCGCTTCCATTGTTAAGAAAGGAGACGAATATGAAATTATGTACAACGAAAATATTTGGTTTGTGGAGTTTGTTGGTGTGAAATTGAATCGATGGGTGAAGGAGGATTTGTCGTTGAGTTTTATATGTCTTTCGATGAACCTTGGGATTAGATGATGTTGGTAATACTCATCCGTTCGTTGCCACGATTTCTGTCGTCCCTTCGAGCCGGAGGACTTGTTTGTGGTTTTGCTGAAATTGGTCCCATGCCGCTCGCTCCGATTGATCCTCCTGTTGCGCCACCCATTCCTCCTGCTACTCCAGGCGCTACACCCAACCCTAGACCGAATACGCCTCGAGGCTCGGGAAGGTATGCATTTCCTTGTCCATGTCCAGAGAGAGGTCCAGAGCCTGGCACAGGCCCAGACGCATTTGATTCTCTTGCCAGAATCTCCACCAGATATTGCACTCTTTCCCACCCACCCCAGTCCCTCGCTTCCGCCTCCCCAAGCACCAGAAGTCCTCCACTCAATCCACTCATACCTCCCATCTCCCTATCTCTATCTCCCTCTCTTGATAATGTAGGACTAGTCACGCCCGCTCCTCCAGCATTGGGACTCCTCATCCCCATCGCCTCTCTGCCTTGCCAAATCCAACTCTCATCTCCCCCTTGCAAATCTCCACTCAAGTATGCCACTACCTCCTCATCCATGTCAAATCTTCCTATCCTTTCAGTGGAACTTTGACCCAAATACGCCTGCTCTCTACCATTATTGTCTGAACTCCTCTTCTTATCAATCAACACGCCCAAAAAGAATACAATGTATCTTCCACAAGCCACATTAACCTCTCTCTCAAATCCAACATAAGCAAGTGCTCTAATACACGTTGCAGCCGCGTCAAATCGTCCTCCAAACAGTAAAAACAAGGTGCATCGCCATATATGCATGCAAATCATCGCGCTAGTACTTTGGCCCCAGCTCCGATTTTGCGAGGATAGTGGGCTTGTGGAACTTTGAGGGAGAGCGCGGGAGAGTATAGAAGCACTGTTCATAGAATCTAGAATACAGGATTCGATAGCGGACGCGCGTAGATCGGGTGGCGAAGAAGTAGTGAGGTTATGGCGATGAAGTAAGAGACGTGCATTTAGGAGGTGGTAGATTGGGACGAGAGTTGTGGATTCGAGAGGGTCGGAGGAAGAGAGATGGAAAGGGGGTGGGAAAGCGGATAAACAGTTTGTAAAATATGTGTCGAAAGCAGATATTGTGGAAGGAGGAATGATAGGTAATTTGAGGGTCTTGAGGAGAGACCCTATACCGCGCATGGTATGGATAATTGGAAGAAGATAGGTTGACGGCATGCTTGTTTGTGCACTATTTTGAGGCGCAGGTGGAGATCGATAGCCCAAATAAAATTCATCAATAGGATTGGGGAGATTAACATCGCAATCTGCATCGTCGATAAGAAGGGGTCTTCCAAATTCAAGCGACATGTGCCGGTCCCAAATATAGATTCCCCACCATACCCTTCTGCGCATTTCATCTTCAACTGATTGCGACGGTCCTGTCTCGCAATGAAGGCCCAAATCTTGTCCAATTCGAACACTTGATCCAAGCCATGTCCACGCTGCCGATTTAAGGTTCATTTCGTAAAGAAATATACTGGTAAGAAGAACTGTACGCGCATGATCAATACAGTAATCGTCATTCCAAAGATCTGTGAGGTTTATGGATACTTCTATGTATTCTTTACCTTTGTAAGATCTTTGAATACTGGGCTCTGTGCTGAAAAGAACTCCCACTGCCATCACCGCAAAGAATAATGCAGTCCAGTTCCGTGGTGTAGTTTCCAAAGAGCCCTTTTTGTAAACTTCTTCATACTCGCGCTCAAAGTTTGGCCAATGAAGTATGGGTGTTACTAGATGTATGGAAGAATAATAAGCTCTCAAGAGATGATCTGCGAGATGTTTAGGAGGTAGTTCGGGAGGTGAAGAAATTCTGGTTATTGGTGATCCTATCTGTCGGTATGGAGCTGGAGTTTTGAAGATTCCATGGCTATAATTCCCGATGCTTGATTGTATTTTTGACAAATCGTGTAGCAGAGGGGCTCTTGGTCTCTTCTTCGGTTGCGATCCGATTTCTGGTAAGTAAATAGAAGTCGAACCTTCATCAACATCCATTTGGTCCTCTTTCATACTGAGCATGGCTCTCAATTGGTTATTCTCGCGCTTGACTTGGGCAATCTGTTTCTCCAAGTCTTGAACCTGTTTGATAGAGGACATACGTCTATTTGTCTCTTTCGTAAATTGACATTTGACATTCCTACTAGAGCACTCCGAACAGCTACTAGTTTCCGTTGCATCACATTTAACTTTGCGTTCCCGACAGGCATCACAACTTGGATCTTTTCTTCGTTGTCGATACGCTCGCTTTTGCGCTTGCATATTTGCCGATGTCATTTGTCCAACAGAAGGGCCTGGAGTGCCGCTTGACGACCCATTTGATGCTATGGAATCCATGCCCATTCCGCCTGGAGATGTAGTAGCAGAGCTATAACTGTGGTGGAAAGGACTTTGCCCGGGTGGCGGAAGCCCTGAAGTCATTGCCATGTGCTGTGGGTGAGGAATGTTTCCGGTCATTGGCCGTGGCGAAGCTCCCATCAATCCTCCTTCGTACAATCCTTGGGGCCTGGGAGAGGTCGCAGAAGATACCGAAGATGAATCATAAGATGATGTAGAAGGTATCGGCGATCTGGGATATGTATTATGCAATGGATCCGTCATTGTTGGAGCACGCGGGATCTATCTCTCCAATTGATATAATGACTGTAGGTAAATTTGATGTATCTATAAAACGAAAATACTGATAATAAGGTTGTGTTTGCTTAGAGATGTCGTTATTGGTGGTTTAGCTTCATCGCTTGGTCGGTATGTACCGGTCTATAGAGTAGTTGTGATAGAAAAGAGTGTATAAAAACGTTCTAATCAGAAATGATTGATGATAAGATCCATACAATGTCTATAAGATCTAGTCATAAAACTTTTGGTCAGAAACAGGTAATCTTTCAAGTGCTCCGTGTGTTGAAGATCTGAAAGATTCGCGATGCGCCGCAGGGGAAAGAGTACTGTGCAACGTTGAAAGCTGCCAAAGTCCGACGCACGCCTGCAGTGTGTGCTCAAGCTAGAATTTCCCCCACTGAATCTTCAATGCTAGATGTACCAAAAGTCGGCAGCTGATCCGTGAGGTGGAGGTGATTAATCTGTGACAGAACGGATATCAGCCAGTTATATTAAAGCAAATGGTCGCATATCGGGAAATACTAAATGCTTTAAAGGAGAATGACCATTTTGGGGCGGTAAATGGGTATGAAGAGGGAAAAGATTGTGCCGATGAACAAGTGATATGAGCTTTTCGTGCTAGAGTAAGCTTGGATGAGTGGTTGAATTGGAGGGTATATGACGGAGATGCAAGCATTGGGCTTCCGCTTTAAGGCTGATTGGGAAATCTGGAGTAATTGATTGCCAAGATTGAAAGGCAAGCATTTAAATCAGAGGTTCGCCAAAGTTTGCTAGGCCCTAAGTTTCCCTGCTACCCGGCCATCCATGTATATAACAAGGACTATTATAACGTTAAAAAGTAGCGGCATGATTGCGATGCCCCAAGACCTCATCAGTCTAGTTTCTTGTGACGGTTATCGGCAGGGGTTCAAGATATGTGCCAGTGAGTAGTAGTTACCGGAACACTCTGCATGAAGCAAATGTCAAGGGTGTTAAATCCTAAGGTGGGTATGGCCACGAGGCAAATTCATCTTAAGATCTTTCCCGATTGGGATGCAAACTTGAAAACTCATCCTTATTTGGTAGTCGGGTCGGCAGGAGGTTCCTGTCATACTTCGGGATATGATATGCACTGCTGATTGTGCGCTTGATTCGATTCGCCAGCGGAAACTCAAGGCTCAAGAGGATAGTTTCCAGGCAGCTCAGTACTGATGAGCCGTCCTAAAACTTAAAACGACATATAAAGGTGATCTTTCAAATAAATTAATAAAACATACCTGGAATCTGTTCAACTTGCACACCTAATTCACCGACCACTGACATTTGTGAAGGATGACCTCCCTGCAGAATTCTCGGGTTGTGGCGTGGGTAAGCGTTCCTACTTGCATTTATGCGCACTCCAATCCACTTCCGGCAGAGGATACCGACAGGTTCGGGCCGTTGATAGGACAGGGCGAATTCCAATGACTCGGAATTATTATGTTGATACTTTGGGGGCGACGTAAGTCTTGTATCAAAAAGACGAGCAGATAGGGTGTGACGAAATAATATATGAGAATCTAGGTTCTAGGCAAGATGTACTGGTACATGTATGTATTGTGCGACGGTCGAAATGAAAGAACCCTTGATTAGAAACTTGGGAATACTTTGATTATTTCCTAGCTCACGCGATTTGATGTCAATATGGGAAGTGTGTGAATGTGAGATACACGTGGGTGATCTTCCTGAATTTCGTTTTTGATGATCTTTATTTTCCAGACGCCAAATGCGGATTTGTACATGAACAATGCTTGAGTCTAGGATTCCGAGAATGGTCTAGGTCTAGGCCGTTGATGGCATAAGAATAACTGATGCACGATTTGTGTCCGTAGGAGATTTAATAGGCGACGCGGCACAAACCTGGTAAAAGAGGTTCAACATTTGGTACTGGGAATATAGTGATGGGATAAGGTGGTGGTACCTGCTATCCTTGTATATCCTTGCTACAATGTATTTAAACGGGTACCTTGAAGAGATTCACTGGGGTTTGTCTCGACAGCATGCTGTGTTCCTAAGATCAGCGTTGCCAAACATGCTCGAGGTGCATGATAATGTATGCAAGGCTGGTTGTGAGAGAAATGTTGCAAGATGCGGATACAGCTTCCAATGCCATTTAATTTTCATTCAACCCCGCGCGTACAAACATAGCTTTATCTTTGACAAGGAAAAACCAAGGTAACGGCAGTGGGGTTTTCAAGTTCCGGTTCTTCAACAGTGCTGTCGAGGCGTCAAAGATCTCGAAGCAGGGAGATCTCCTGGCGACCTAGAAGCGAGCCGTGTACACCCAATGGCGAATTAAATAAACACTAATTAGTGTTTCATCTTCTAGATCCTACTGAGAGCCTCTTTTTACCACTGACTCCCAGGTAGCTCATCGTTCCAAAAAGGAGGGGGGATGTATCTTTCCGGAAAGAAAGCATATTTAGAGGAGTAGTCCCGTTAGCACTGTAGGGGTTTAGGAAGCATGCCAAGACTCTAGATGTTGAGCCATGGCATCCGAGGTACCTGCGGATTATTGTGGGGACAATAAATGTTGAAATGAGGGGATAGTCGACAAATATGCCGGTTTAAGTGGGCGGTATATCTGTTCGTTTTTGATCTGTATTATGGCGACACATAAGCGCCACAGATCCATTGATCAACTATCTACACTTTTTCTTTCAAAGAAACTAGAAGTGGGATCATTATCTTATTTGATGATTGAGGTTTGTCAATATCTGCATCTTTATTTCCAATTGGATCCCTTTAAAATACCGACGGTACGTGGAAAGCGTGATCATCTTATCTAGTCCGACATAGATATCGATATTTATCTTGATTGCATCAAATTGGATGATTGTACTGCTAGCTCTAGATTCTTGACGACCATGTCTGACCGCTTCTGATAGGCCTGCAGGCTCGGAAGCATTGAGGCATTTCAATTTGCAGCACTGATTATGCCGGATCTTAATTAGTTGCTCATCTGACCGCTGCAGAAGTCCATCTCACTGCTAATCGAATCGGGCTTTACAGGAATTAGCGGGGTTTCCTGAGTTCTTTTACTTGACAATTGCAATTGCCTCGGTGTAGTCTGCTACCGGTTGCCGAAGCAATATTGTACTACCTGCGATATGTATAATAGGGAGACATTGGGATGAAGAGACAAAGGTCTCGCCCAAAGGTAAAAGTGTAGATTGAGGTATGCTACTATGCTTGTTTGGATGGCTTCATTTGCAGGGCCTACCTGGACTGCTTCAAGATTCTAGCGAGATCCAAGACACCCACCTAACAGAAAAATGCACTGCCTCCTTGGCCGTGACTGTCAAACAAGAAAGTTTAGATGGGCGTCACGGGTCGCATATTTACCCGATAAAGTTTTGTTAGGACAAGCCTTCCAATGTGTCGGTATGAGATATATGATGTCTCCCAAGTCCCGGCTGCGAGTCTCGATCTGAGAACCATATTAATTTGAGTCATGGCTGCGTAAGGAACGTGTGGATACTCGTTTTGGGTTGATTCTGGAGCTTCAATTTGACAAGGAGATTCGTTGTTGGCAAGACTGTCACTGTTCCCATGTATTTGGATTATGGGGAAGTACCCTAGGTGACGTTGGATAGCATTTGACGTTACTCCAGCAGCATGGATTCCATGTCTTAAGAATAGAGTTTGTGCTGCCATGGCATCGCGGTCAAACATTACTAAATTAGTTATGCACACTTTGGAAACCGAACTACCGTGCTCATCTAGTGTCCGAGTCTAAATGACCAATTTCAGCAAGTCAGTAATCGATTTGAGATGAAGGATGATTATGCTTGAGCGTGAATAATTGCGATGAGAATTTACACGGCATTCTTTCAGATACTGCAGAGCTTTTTGCAAAATGACCATGTTTTAAACAATGGCTGTTTTTGCCGATAACGATAGAATTAACATTCGAAGCTCTAGGCTCAGAATTTTGGATTCATACAGGCCTTGAGTATCATTATGAAGAGATTGAACCTTTGAGGCATCAGAGAATCAAAGACATTCAAAATTGCAAAGAAGATCGCCGCACTATCTCATTTCGCCCACTCCGAGTTCGTTTGGTTGAGATCGGGCTATTGTCGAAATTGCCAAGTTGATTTGTTGAAGATGACGACAAAGGGTGCTCTGTGGTGCTGTCTAACATCGGGGATCATCCGAATCTAGGGCCATTTCCGGCGCTTTATTTCTTGGAACTTAGTATTGCTGGCCATTCGAGTATAGCGTTCACACTGTGAAGTCGAGACTCGTATTGTTCTATGATCTCGAAGGCTTCGTTGATCACTCTGACTTTGTTTTAAATTGATATCACGATTCATTGACATTGAACCTGTGTCCCATGGACTACCTTCGAAATCCTTCCTGAAGCTGCAGGTTCTGTCTAGATTTTATCTTGTGAGAGAATTCACTCAGAAATCAAAAACACCGACAGCTGGTATCTTATCGCCGAACATCACTTTACCCACTCCTCTGGAATGCCGGTAGAGTTTGCCGAAAAAAAAAGTAAATGAGAATGGGAATATTATGATATTCAGCATGGATGTGAATCCGATTTTTTTCCATTATCCGGTTACTGGGTATCAAGAGCTGATCATCTTTTCATGGTGTAAGAATGATATTGATCGGTATCAAGGTAGAAAATTGCAATGCTAATGTAAAAGCAAGGGATAAACCGCCATTCGCCTAAGCATCGTGATATTTGAATATGCCCGAGAGATGATGAGAAGCTCTGGCCCAACTAGGATGCGTTAGTTTGGCTTGGAGAAGATCCATTGTGAATGTTAGTGGGTATGCCGAAATCTGAAACGTATGATAGTAATCATTGATATATCGTATGCCTCCTCATTTGGCAATCACATGCTCTAGCATGGAACCAACCGCCAGGAACGGAAAACTGGTCCAATGTTAGTTGCAGATCTTTGCTTCTCTTCGTGTTGAACGGGGGCGTTTTAGGATATTGAGGGTAGTAGATAACATGGATTGTTCTCCGAATTCTCCTCAATGGAGGGAAAGATGCATCCTCAGTGATCCACCATTTCACAGTCATGTTGAAAGCAAACTATTTCAAAAAAAAATCCTTAAATCAAAAACTAAAATAGAGGCTGAAAGGGTATGTGCGTGCATTCAACGTTGCGTGTCCAGAATGTTTTATATGTGTACTCTATTGAGGGATATAAGCTTGGATCCGGGAAATTCTCCGAGTTCCGCAGTAGTTGCACACCTCTATGATGCCCACCATAAATGCTTGCTGTGAGTTTGCGACGGCAAGCGGTAAGAAAACGTAAAATAGGTGTAACTGGAACCTCGAATAGACAGCAAATTGATTCCCTTGTAACGATCACAGAATATTCGCAAACATTACTCCAAGAATAGTTCGGCGATTGACCCGAAAAGTCGATATTAGCCTCCAGTCTTCATATTAACCACGTTGAAATGCTAGCGATATACCCAAGGATCGGAACTTTACGTGCAAGGGGTGCAAGGAGGGTAGGGCGCTTGCTCAGGACCAAGAGATCATGTAAAGAAATATCTCCAGGGCTACCAGAAGTCTTTCCCCGATGTTAGACACGATCAAGTAGGTATCCGCTGCTCCGGGAGTATAATGAAACACTCTGTAACGCTCCACCATGTTCAATGGCGACGTCGGTATCTACATCACAAAATCTTCGTATATAAAATGAGCCCACAAACAACTTCGGGGTAACGTTGAGTGACAGATTGACAGTTGATGACTAGGGTAAATTCTAAGGAGAAAATGGGAAATGCCGTTCGTACAATTTCAACACTGAAGACCCGATGAGGTGACAGTAGCACAAGGGGGGGGAGGAGGATTGTGGAGCCTCAATGAATAAGTTATCTCCATTCCTGGGTCGACTCCCATGTCAGTAGTCAGTTCAAACACTCGGATAATGCAACCAATGGTCGGGGCAATTACTCAGGACAAACCCCCTTGTGTGTTGCCATTTGTAGAATGTGGTATGTAAACCTACTCTACCCTGCCGGCGACCATCGACTCTCCAGAAGTTGGGCCATTGATTAGGTACTTCGTATGTTACTTGTACAGATGAAGGAACTCGGAAGTAAAAGATGGGAGAGTGATAAATTGTGCTTCGTTAGATCATAGATGAGAATTTAAGTGTAAGGTACCTGGGATTTCTCGGATTCCGCCGTATAGCGATTGGCTCTCTCTTGCGTAGTCCTTGCAAAGTTATTGCATTTCAAGACTCCACCACAGAACATAATAGCCTATGAAATTCAATCAACCTCTATCTTCCTTGAAAGGATTGGCTAGAACATCAAGAATGTCGGGTCTTTTGATCTTTTTACCTTGACCGCCAGTAAAAATAGGATGAAAAGTTTCTGCCATTTTTCGGTCATTACCACCTTTTCTCAGAAAAATTCAATAACTATTACCATACATCTTCAATCTTCATGATTAGACCATACCTTTGCATTGTCAATTCCCTGACACCACTGCCCTAGAAGACGAAAAGAAAGGGCACAAAGGTAGCGATTGGTAAAGTAATATTGTGCTGTAGTTTGATATCTATCAGATATTAATGGCCGTAGGCCCGAAGTATTTCATTTTTGCTATCTGTGCTATTTGGTGGGTTGTCCTTTTGTAAAGCGTAGCCCTCTCTATCAAGGTTGATATTCACTCAATATTCACAATAATTGATCATTCATACAAGTCATTGCTAGATTTTCTTCCTTCTTGGAGCAATTGATTTTTGATAGAAGTATCTCTCGATAACCAGATTGTTGCCCCAATAGAATCGATCAGAGCAGAGAATACATTTTGCGATCTCGATAATTCGACTTAAATTACCATCTCTTCCTCATCCAAACCCTTTCAATATACAATAATTCAAGATGTGCGGTGAAAATATGAAGCAATTCCTGAAGGAGCTCCCAAAATGTGAGCATCACATTCATATCGAGGGATCTCTTTCTCCAGCGCTCTTATTCGAGCTTGCCAAAACAAACAATATCGCCCTTCCAGACTCTGCGACTGATGCCTCTTTCAAATCTCCCGAAGAACTCGAGTCTCGCTATGAACGCTTTACTTCCCTCAACGATTTCCTCCATTACTATTACATTGGCATGTCAGTTTTGATCAATGCTGCGGATTACGAAAGTTTGGCCTATGAATACCTCACAAAAGCCAATCGCGACGGAGTTCACCATGCCGAAATTTTCTTCGATCCACAAGCACACACTGAGCGTGGAATTGCATACAAAACTGTTGTTGAGGGTCTTACTGCTGGATTGAAGCGCGCTGAGAAGGATTTCGGTATTACCTCAAAACTCATTCTATGCTTCTTGCGACACTTGTCTGCTGAGAGTGCAAACACTACATATCAGGAAGCAACTTCCCTTGGTCACTTTTCGAATGGAACCGTAGCTGCTATTGGTCTTGATAGCAGTGAGGTTGGATTTCCACCAGAAATCTTCAGAGAAATTTATGAATCCGCGGAAAGCAAGGGGATTCATCGCACCTCTCACGCTGGTGAGGAAGGTGACACCTCTTACATTTCCAGAGCACTAGACATCTGCAAAGTTGAGAGAATTGATCATGGGATTAGATTGGCCGAAGATGAAAGCTTATTGAAGCGGGTTGCAGAGCAGGGAACAATGTTGACAGTCTGCCCACTAAGCAATGTTCGCTTGAGGTGTGTTGAGAATGTTGGACAATTGCCAATTCGAAAGTTTTTGGATGCAGGAATTAAATTCAGCATCAACAGTGACGACCCAGCTTACTTTGGTGGTTATATCTTGGATAATTACGTTGCTGTTCAAGAAGCATTCAACTTGAGTTTGAAGGAGTGGAAATACATTGCGACCAGCGCAGTCGAAGGGAGCTGGTGCGATGATGAGAGAAAGTCTGTGCTCTTAAGCAAGGTCGACGCATGTGTCAATAAGCATGAGGCATTGATTTGAAGGAAGGAGTAAACAAAAGCTGAGTGTCGGCATTTTCTAGTCTGGATTTCATCGGGAATGTTGCAGATATACTGGTGCCAGCAATCATCTCTCGGGTGCGCATCTATATTCAACTTCGTTTCGGGATCTTATATACACCAAAAGGAGATGTTGGCGCTGGGGTTGAAAAAAAGAATTGAATAAACATATATATATCACCTCGCTTCTCCTTGCTAATTTGTGATCTCCTTCGACTCAATACACCATTGTTTTCTGTGGGCGACTCGGCGTTGACCTTTTTGCTAATGTTGTTGCCATTCATGTTTTACTCACTATACTCCAGCTGTGGTTTCGGCCTTCGTCTTGTCATGAAAAGTGGGTGCATTGAATGTGGTGAATTTCTTATATGATGTGATTCACAATCAAGATGGTCAGGTGCCGTTTTGCATCATTCGTTTTTTTTTACGACGGCAGAAATATCAAGGAAGAAGAGGAAAGAAGGCCTTGCTTTTGTGTCTCAAATAGCTTCGTTCCATTTCTATTCCAAGATCCACGCCATGGGCCGCACAACTTGAACTACTCTGGCTACTTTGTAAGTTTTCTATCACTTCATTGAAACACTAAAAGTCTAATCTTCTTGTATCTCAGAGCAACAAGAGACTGACAAGCGACCACCAAGCCAGCCTTTTGACTGGTGAGATCTACTATCTTTACCTTCACTTTCAATAAAAAGATCTCCCGAAAGTCAATTGCAATGGGGAAATCGGAGTTGGTACCAAAAACACAACACAAGAAGAGGGTACGGCCAATCTCCAATCCCCTCTACTCCAATGATGAGGTCTTTTTCTGCAACATACTCAAACATCATGATATGCGCTTTGGAGAGCAGTTTCCTACCTTTGATCGTCTCTTTTCCGTATCTTTCGAGCACGAGGAAAGCTTTTATCTGGGATGTCAAACTTTCTATGCCTTCAACTTGGAATTTATGAATCCAGATAGTTGTAAGAAATCCACCGAAGTTGCTCCTTCTACTTGTCAAGTGGTGGTTCGGCCCAAATCTTACAGAAAGCCTGCTAAATATGACATCCAACCATTGACGCCGATTGACGAGTCCAGCGAGTCCACCGAATCTATCGAAGAAAGAACGAGAAATGGCCGAGCTTTCTCTCCAAAAAAAATGTCTCCTGTCCATGGTTTTGATCATTGGAAAGATGAACAGCGGGGGATGCTCTCTTCACTAATGCCTGCTGCGATTCCAAACAACGAAACTTCGTCGCTTGGCGTCCCACATTATTCAATCCCTCCTTTATCCCCGATGTCGAAGATGATTCAGGATCTTGAGTACCCGTCATTGTCGGTACATGGTAAGTCGTTGAAGTCAGCGATCGCTAACATCCATGGAATTGAATCAAATGACGGTGATGAAATCCACGCCATGTTTATTCACCCCATTGCAGCGAACCCCGCAATCAAAGTACCTGATGGAGCTCAACCGACCTCTCAATTTCCTAATCTCATATACGACGCTCGAACCGATCGATATATCAAGAAAACAAAGACTGGAATTGAAAGAGATTTTAAACTCAATGATGATCTAGCAGTTGATGACATGCATACAACAGCTACTGAAGCGAGAGAAGAAAAGGGCATAGTCTTGAGTCGAATCACGGAACTTCCCGAGGCGGCAATCATGAAGTATACAAATTCAGATTTAACAATGGCAGTTCGACCTCTGAGGATGAAGCCACAAGTTCAAGACAATGGTTTATACCGGGAAGTTAAGGTTGGTCTTGGAAACGAAGGTGCAGAAGATGATGCTAAGGGACATTTACGAATGGCTTCAGAACCAGAACGACTTGTAATTCCAGGAGCAGATGAACATCTTGGCAGATTAAGCGCCGATAAGATACCTATCAAGAGAATCGCAAGACATCCATCTGCGAATATGACCCGGAAACTGGAAGACTCTCCAACTTTATCTCGCAGGAATTCCCGCCGCAAAAAGGCTGGCCCAATCTACTTGCCAGCTTGTGCTGAGAACGAAAATGGAATCCCAAGAAGACCACTTTTCACTTCAGACAACACAGGATCGCCATCACCAAGAACTCATCTAGTTCGTTCGCCCCCGCCGATGGATCGTCCATATCGTCATATCAGTCAACTATCCATCAACAATACGTCTGGCATTGATGCCCTCCCAACACAAGATCGTGGTTCTGTTGAAAGTGATCTTTCTTCAGTCGCGGTTGATGTTAATTCTCTTGTACCGCCAACAGTCACTAAAACATCTCCAGAGGTCAATATCACTTCTGTCATGCCACAGTCGAGAACCACCAAATCCCCGACTACCCCCGAGGCTCCAACAAAGGTTCCATCCTATACCCTTAACCTCCCTCGAATCTTCTCATCTCCATCACCAATCGCTCCACCGCCTAAACTTGCGTCCGCAGTTCCGGCTGCTCCCATCCCAAATTCTGACTTCACAGACATCCAGCCTCTTCCTATCTCTAATCAGAAAAGTGGTATTACTTCATCAACATACTCCCTTTACACCCCCGAATCCTCTCCCCACAATAGTGCTCAAGTATATGCTCCGCTGTCCAGGAATTTTAGCATCCCATCTCCACCAAGTACGCCAACGACTGGTCTTTTCCGCTCCGACACAAGTAATACAAAAAACACAGTGAGTACCGTGCCAAGTACACCCACTCAAGGTGTCTACAGCCACAGCCGCCACAATACTTATTCGACAGATCTCTCTAGCATCTCGTCACCAATTACTAGCCCGATTTACAAAGCCAGGCCATCATTTGATTTTGATCCCTTCCGGATTCCTAGTCCGTCCCTCAATGCTTTTTCATTCCCACATACCACTCCATCAGTTAAGCCATCACCCATACCCTGTTCCGGCAGCAATCTCAGCGAGGAAAGCATTGCTTTAACTGAACATCTAGTCCGAGAAGGTATCTACGGCGGTATTGTCTACGACGTCGCTGCTTCTCCCAATCTCTATCCCATCTATCCAGAACCATTTGTCCCCCATCTTACCAAAAAGCTCACTCCCGCTCAACTTCAACGCAAAAAGAAACTCGCAGCTCGCAAACTCCGATACGCGCTCCGAAAGCGCGAAAAGAAGGAGAAAAGAGAGAAGAAAGCCGAAGCGAAACAAGCCAAAACGACGCTTAAAAAAGTAAAAGCCCGAACTAGGAAAGCAAAACTAGCAGTGCAGAGTAAGAAAGGAACATTGAACTATCTTACCATTCGTGTCTTCTTCAGGGGCTTAGGAAAGGGAGTTGTGATGAAGTGGCACGGAGCTAAACGCAGATTGGGACAAGTACAGTTCTCGAAGATTTTGGGTGCAAGACTGGAGAAACAGGTGGTGGGGGATGAGTATGATTTTGTTTGCAGGGGAGAAAGTGAGCATATGAGTTGGGAGGATGTGAGGGTGAGTGGTGGGGGTTTGGAGCCGGTGATGAGTAGAGAGGATCGAGAGATGACAGAGACGAAGATGAAGGAGTGAGTGCAAGTGTGAGTGTGAACGCGATGTGTGTTACTCGCTCGAAAACAGTCTTTACGATGAGTATTTCTTTTGTTTCAGGTCTGCGGATGGAAGTGGTACTAGATTTGAATGGTACTGGTATTGGAAGATATCCACCCAGGGTAGATGAATTCCTTGGTCACTCGGATATTAGACTAGACTAGATGGGCAGTTTCCTTTTATCTTTCTTCCTCTCGGAGTTTTCTCAGCATAAGTGTTATTGGAGTTTATGGATATGAAGGGAGGATTTACAGGCGTTGCTATTCACCATAAGTTTCCGATTTGGAAAGCAAGTACACGGAGGATTCAACATGATACCTGTGCATTATGGAAAGGATATCTTTATCGATTTTTGGGGCATGCGCATTTCACAATCAAGATGGATTGTGGAAGGATGGGGTAGATATTTAGAACCATGATATATTATGCGACATTTTACCATTTTCCCGCTATCTAGCTTACTTGGTTGGTAGAGAATTTGAATCTAAATCACAATTCTGTTTTGAACTCACATTCACACTTACACTCACAATCGGTAACTTATATTGTAGACTGCAACGGAGCAATTACATACTTTATGTCCAAGGATACTCTTGAGTTGCATATATTTGCTCAGTATATCATGATAATCAATTTATAAAAAGCATACCTACCATAAATCCACCGAGAGGGAATGTCGAAACCAAGAAAAGCAATAACTACATCTCTAAACCCAAATCACACCACCCCGCCGGGACATCATAGCTTGATGAATAATGGTGTTCTCTACCATCATATTTGTCTTTAGACCTTTTACCCAGCGTCTGCGGGTCATCTACATGTCTCTGCACCTCCGTCTCCGCATTCTCAACACCTTTCCCTTTTCCCTCGTAACTTCTTCCTCGTCTAATCCCCATACCAACCATCTGTTCTCTAACCCTCTCTCTACTCTTTCTCGCACCCCTCGCACACCCTTCACAACTTCCTTTCTCCTCAACCACCTGTGCAAGTCCGGTTTCGGCACCGATTCCAAACCTTGCAGTTTCCCATGGACAAATTTTCTGTCTTTCTTTGGCGCGAGGACAGACGGAGATGGGTGTGTATTTTGAGTGCGTATAAGGACATGATCTATAATATACGTGAATATATCTGCACATTCTATGAGTCGTCTGGCAATTGAGGCTAGATGATATTCTGGATCTGGTGGTTACTTGCACGTTGTACAAGCGTATAAATCAGTGTGAAGATATGCGGATGTGAACTTCAAAGTTTTGAGATTTGAATGAGATATGAAGGGGGAAAATTTGGGGGATGATCATGCATTTAATATCTTCCTATCAAAATTTCATTGAAAGCATAGTAAATGCTGCACTTATGAATGGAAATCCCTAATTCGCTCTTTTGCAGTAGACGTCAAGGTTTTGATATGATCACGAAATGATGCTCAAACATTTAGCACAGATAAAATAGAGAACATGTTGAAATCCCAAATATTGCTTATTATGGGAATCATTCATTCTTTCGATTAATTTTTGTTTCCCAAGCCAAATAACTCCGATGTCAAGGTATCTTTCACCATCCAGTCTAAACCATGAACCCCTCCCCATGCAAGTCATTATTTTTGAATCATTAACTTCCTTCCGCTTTCTCACATCGTACAGTCGGCTCCTTATCATCTATTTGAATAACAAGGACATCAAATGTAGTGTTAATAACATCTGAAATCCGAAACAGAAAGAACGAGTAGTATCTGTTTTCTCCATTCATAGCCTTGATACCCATGCATCGCATCAGATCAGCATCACCGCATTCCCCTCCTTTTTCCAATCATAGGAACAGGTGGAACAGGAGGAATTCCTGACTTGCCCCTTCCACTTGCCGAGTGCACACTTAGTCTCTGCACCTGCAATTCTCGATCGATACTCAAGAGATTCTTTACGATTTCCGCAAATGAAGATTTTCTTGCTAGCTTTGTTGTGTCAGTATGGGTTTAACTTTCGATCATAATTTCTCGGGGGTTTGAACAGCTCGGATGCAACTCGCGTTGTAAAGAAGGGCTTTCTCAAATTTGAGGTCTTGATAATCATGCCCGTCACCCCAAAATAGAATAATAGAACTTACCACCCGACTGCCCTCTTTCTCTGCCTTACACTTGACACAAAGTCCTTCCACCCACCTTTCCCTGAACTCACTTTCCAACTTTCTGCCTCCATTCTTTATCCACTTTCCTTCGTCCCTCCTTTCCCGAGTCGCCAGGGTTTCATCAGTTTCCAGGCCCTCTGCTTCCCTCTTCCACCTCTCAAATCGTTCCCTGTCGAATCTACAAGGCGGACTTTCGTATCTCCCACCCCCAGAGCTCATTCTTCTACTCAGTGATCCCGGACATCGTTCCTGTAGTAAGAGAGAGGTGTGTGGACAAGCGTGGTGGGTTATGATGTAGATACACATCTTCTAAAGAGTGGGTTTAGTGAATTTGATAATGTGTATTTTTATCGCTCGTCCTCTCTGGGTCGTGAAATCCTCAAGATGTTGGGCGTTCCCTTGATGTTATATTGGTATTATCGACGCTCGTCGAGATTCTTTGTTCTTCCGTATGGAAATGCGAATACGAATGATCTCAATCAAACCAACTGAAACCTCCCTGAACACTTTTTTCCCCCGGTGATTCCAGAGCCGTAATGTAGTCTAAGGTTTCCAACCCGGGATTTCCAGCTCAAAACCACAAGAGTCCCAAACACTCAACAGAAGTGATGCTGTGTGAAAAAATCTTGTACCAGTTCTTTCTCACTCCAATTCAATACAGTACCCGCATAAACTTCCTCTATCGCTTCTGGATAAATTATCACCACTCCAAATTTCTATCGTGATATCGGGTTGTGTTCGTTAAATCCTTCGGAATATACCTCGGTATCCCACTAGAGATGCCGTCGCGCAGAATTTCAATTATTCAAGTAAATGATGATTGGCGATCAAGTGGTATTCCTTTGTTTGAAGATTGAGATGTGATTCACTGCTAAACTCCTCTACCTTTCAAAATACAAATAAACATGCAAATTTTGTTTCGTACAGCACATGTATTACACATGTGATTACAACTCCACCTATATCTCCAAAGCCATGATAATACTCACTTCCACAACATCCATTATCCTTCAACTACTCTCCGAGACTTCCGCTGGCCCCACGAGCGACAGCTAACGGATAACCACAAGTCTAGACCCAGATTTCAATTTATTCTGCCTTTCTTTCAACTTTCTGTGATTTTCTTTTTTCACCAAGATCCCAGCTTTTATGGGTATCCACATCCCACGGCATCCTTGGAACTATCCCTGGACTTTGTAATTTTGCTCACGAAGACGCGGGGGTATTTCCTCATCGCGATGCTTTTTAATATATATCTTCATGCGCAAACAGCAAGTTCCTAGTGGCCGTTTAGAACAAACGTCGACCAGTCGTGATCCATCATTTGTGAACCTTACGAGTGGAGTTCTCGAAAGGAGATTGCCGACTTATAGATCCAATAAATTCGTCATTCTACAGATTTTGGTAAATTATCGCAAATATTCCCTTTCTTAACCTGCGCTGCCCCTGCGTTTTCGTAGCGACGATGATGTTTACTAAGTGCCTCTTCTATTATCAACGCAACGCTATTCCAGGGCGATGAATGCCGATGTAATTCATGAGAATATTTCTTCAACATCATCTCCCAATAATGATATAGTTCATTGGGTTGCTTGAACATGTGTGCTACATCCTTGATACCAATTTAGAGACATTAAATCGAGGATGGGAAATTGGGGGGTCATAGAGGATGGTATCAGGTTTGACCTGAAGAGAAGATAGCAGAGATCGAATAATCTCCAGTATTGTATGGTGGCTAATCGACTCCGACGGATCGATGATAGTGACGTTCATCTTGAGCAAGCGAGATATATAAGGGGGACATGAGATGACGGGTTTGTGGAGTTCGCAGGTTCGTTGAGAAATGTAAGATGTATGTTTGGGACGAATGAGATTCGAAAGTCAACAACACACACAAAATCAAATGGAGGATATTTGCATAAAATGTTGCGTTTATGCCAGATTTATGCATGACCTCGGCACGAGCACTTGATGTTCCCCTCCCCCGCATACTAAAATAACCTTCCCATACATATCTCGATATATCCATCCAAATCAAGGAGCTCGAGAGGTTCTTCAACATCCCCAAACCAGCCACAATGACCTCCTCTCCCCCCTCTCCCTGGCAACAAATCTCTCACCGCAAACAAAAAACCAGACAATCCCTCATCCCCACCCCCTGGCTCCTCTCCTCTCCCCCAGCCCCCTCTGTTTTCAACGTCCTCTCCGTCCCCCGCACCAGCGGCATTCTCACCCCCTCCGAATTAAGCATTACCGAGTCCTACGACGCTACATCCCTTTCCACCGCGCTCCGTTCCCACGAACTCACCGCTCTCGAAGTAACCATCGCGTTTTGTAAACGTGCGGCTATTGCTCAACAAGTATGTAATTGTCTGACCGAGATATTTTTCTCCGATGCCATCGCTCGTGCAAAATGGCTTGATGCCGAGTTTGCGAGGACGGGGAAGGTAATTGGTCCTTTACATGGTGTACCTGTGAGTTTGAAAGATACGTTCAAAGTAAAAGGATATGATGCTTGTATTGGAATTGCTTCATTGGCTGAAAACCCCGCGGCAGAGAATTCTTTGCTTGTGGATATATTGTTAGAAGCTGGTGCTGTACTATATTGTAAGACGAATGTACCGCAAACGTTGATGGCGCTGGATTCAGATAATCATGTATTTGGACGAGTGTTGAATCCGAGAGATAGGAGACTTACTGCTGGAGGTAGCTCAGGGGGTGAAGGGTCATTGATTGCAATGAGAGGAAGTGTATTGGGAGTAGGTACAGATGTCGGTGGTAGTATTAGGATACCTGCTATGTGTAATGGATTATATGGGATCAAGCCAAGTGCTCAACGGGTACCATATGTGGGACAAGAAGGAGGCCAACAACCTGGAGCGTCGAAGATTGGACTACCTGCTAGTGCAGGACCAATTGCGAGGAGCGTGCGGGACTGTGAATTGTTTCTACAAATAGTGTCAGATTCGAAACCGTGGGAAAGAGATCCAGATGTAGTATATGGAATGTGGAAGGAGCAGGGTACGATTCAGAAGAAGGAGAAATTAGTATTTGGTGTTATCAGAACAGATGGCGTAACAACACCGCTTCCTCCTGTCACCAAAATCCTCAACGAAACAGTACACAAACTCCAAGCTGCCGGTCACTCAATAGTCGAAATTGATGCGCCTGCATTTAAAAAATGTCAATCGCTCGCCAATCAATTTTTCGGCATCGATGGTGCAAACTATATGTTTGCTCTTCTTGAGCAAACATCCGAACCTCTTATTCCTTGGTTATCCACGCGTTTGAGACGGAAATCCCCAATTGCTCTCCCGAAACTTGTAGATATTCATGCCAAGAAATCAGAGTTAGAAAAGGAAATGTTGAAGATCTGGAATGATACTAAGATGGGTACAATCGATGCCATTATTTGTCCCGTGGCTCCGCATCCTACACCACCAATTGATAGCTGGAATGCCACAGGTTATACGAGTAGCTTCGTGCTATTGGATTATACATGTGGAACATTGCCGGTGCGAGATTTCCACGAAGCGGATTTGGAAGGAGAGTTAGTAGAGAAGGTGGGAGGAAGTTGGGATAAAGCCAATAGAGAGTTATGTAAGTTTTATCTAAAGGAATATAGTACGTATTGTACTAATGGAAATAAATAGGGGATAAGAAAACAATTGATAGGAGAGTATATCTCGAATCGACGCTTTGTGTTCAAGTCGTTGCACCAAAAATGCAGGAAAGGCGATTGGTAGAGGCAATGGATGTTATTGATGGTGTTCTACATGCCGAGCAACTCGAAGCGAAAGCGAAGTTGTGACGAATTCTTTTTCTCTAATGGTAGCTAATTATTATATATCTCTATTTTTCCGCTTCTAGCTCCTCTTCTTTTACCTCTGCTTTCCTAGCCCCGCTCTTACCGTCCTCCCTCGCCCTATGCTTAGCCCACTTCCCCATTGATAGATGGATTTAACTAGAGAAGGAACTCGGTCCATAAGCTCTTGCACCGAACGGCGGGATGGGAAGTTGAAGGGAGCTTTGTATATATATTATGACGTTCCTTACCGGCCTCAACCCCAATTTTCCCCATCGTTGTTCGAAATGGACCTAGAATATTGGCTTTTACCCAAACTCTTGTCGAACACTGCCATACTGTCATACGATGCCTACCGATTGACTCCACTAATCTTTTAGCCCAGCTTTACATATTAGACCCATAGCATCTCAAACTATGATTACTCAGGCCTTTATCAAGTATACTCGGACCATTGAGATTGAGTCTCGTTTCATGAAGCCATACTACCGATTGCGAGCACTGAGGCCATGCAGCAATAACAATCATGACATATATCATCGTCAAATCGCCCCTCTCAACCTATCTCCTCAACAATCATCAGCAATCGCACTGCTACCAACATCTCATTTCACGTCTCGTCCAAATCTGCATGAAATCACAGTAAAAAAACCTCACACACGAATGGGACTTTCCATTCGCAATACTCTACTACACAAGGAAAATCGACACAAACAGTGCCGAAACCTGAAATCCATCAAAAAGCAATTCACATTGCCCAGCTCACGAATACCAGAGCCGGCGCTACGATCAAAGCCATTTGGATAATTTTGTCGAACGCAAATTGGAGTGCCATCACATCACTACTTAGAATCGGGAGTAGTCTCATCCCGATAAAATTGCGAGGTACATTTGCGCGTTCGGTAAATCCTTGAAATAGTGTCCGTCATTCACGAACTATTTGCTAACCACCAGGATTGCCTTTCCAAAAATAAACATGGAGAGACGGATATACAGGTACAATAAATGCCAGATATCCACATCCTCTTAAGCAAATTGACACGCATGCATGTGGCTGTACCAATTCGTCGTTAGGGGGTGTCCAGAAATGTCTGGTCTACCAAATCCCGCTGAGAGTCGACAAAGGAACTCTTTTCATATCATGAAGTTTGCATTTCTTAAACGTAGACTAACTAGCCACTAGACAATGAATGCAAATACACATCTCCAGCCTCACCTCTGAGTATGCGCGACTAGCAGACCGATTCGCGATCACCTGCGCCTAAGAGTATTTGAGTAATTTCACTCCAGTTTCAACAGCCCATAACCACCAGCCATCACCGCAACGCAACTCCGGTTCGCAACAAGCTCTTCTCCATGAATGCATCTCCCTCCCGCGCAACGAATGACGCATATAAAAAACAAGCGCCAGCGAACCTACAACACCCAGGAAATTTTGCACTCTAGACTCGAAATACAAATATGGCAATCAGACAGTACTTCACGCCGCGACTATAGAAACCAGAAAGAATGAAACCCATTACCCAATTAACATTGCGATTCGAACAAAACACAGTCCCCACAGAAATTCTCTGTCGCATCGTCGCTATTTTTGTGCAGCGTAGCGAGGAATTCTTGTGGCAACAGAAGATATTCTGAGAAGGCAATTGATATCATATGATATCACTGATATCTATAACTTACGTAGTGACTGGTACCTCTAATATTGATATCTGAAGTTGTCTACTTCTTCACTCTGTGCAAAGTCGCATAGAGACTTGAGAAGAAGCATTTACAAAAAGAGAAGCTTGACCTATTTTTATTCTCCAGTGTCCCCATTCTCTCCCCTTCCCTCCCCCGTCACCAACCCACCAAAAAGAATACGACAAAAAGATGAAAAAAAAACATACAACAGTAGGGATTCGCTGGTGGTCACCCACCCAACTACTAATCTACCGATCTGAAGCTTGTGTATGGCAGAGCGGACGGGATGCCCAATTCTCTTCAGTCTATGGTCGTATATGACAGAAAAGTGGTTGAGAGAAGATATATTGGCCTTTGCTGTGTAACATAAATAGACACTCCTAACTCTCCAGAGAATCTCCAAAATGCTTCTCACAAGCCGAATGTAAAAACACGACATCTTACCACATTCTGCATCCTGTATACCACATACCACATACCACATACTACATTCTACTCTTCCACTCTTGTCAGAACCCCGAAGCAAACCCATACAGGTATCACTCAGACTTAGATTCCCCCCTCAGGAATCGTCCTCTTCTTCCTTCCTTTCTGCGCCTTCTCACACAATTTTGGTTTCTCTCCCTTAGTTTCCCATCCCTTCTCCCTCTTAACCTTTCCAATCTTTGGATACTTTCCACTATTCTCAAAGAAACCTATAATCAAACACAAGTTAGCCAAAGTATCCTCTCAGACCGCACCCCCTTCCCCTAAGCTCAACTCACCGATCCAATGCCCCAACGCATCCCTCACCCCCTTAGCCGCCTCCCTGCTCTCTCTCTCTCTCAACTTCTTCATACCTCCCTTTCCAACCTTCTTCAAAATCTCCGCATCCGTCTCCTCATCATCCACCGGCAAAAACATATCCTCCACACCCCTCAAATCCGGCGTCCTATCCTCCTCAAAACAATTCGTCACAAAAGCCCTTGTAGCATCCACGCCCGCGAAGAAATGATAACTGCCCCCCGGACCATAATGCCTACGTCCAGCCGTTACATCATAGATCGTGCCATTGAGCGCGAGGTAGATTGGAAGATCCGGGTTTGAGCCATCGAAGCGCGGGAGATCTGCGTCGGTTATTTGGGGAGGTCCATTCTGGAAAGGAGTGTGAGATGTTAGTTATTGTATTCCCCAATCTAAAAGAGTATCCGTAATGCTCCAGCTATCTGATTCTTCCCTCTCCTCTGCTCCCACATCAAGCTTCCTAGCTAGCAATTCAAAGACAAAAAAGAAACCAGTGAAATCCACTAACCCAATATCCCTTCAAAACCTCCCCATGCGTCCAATTCGGTCTCTTCATTCCCCAAAAGTAGCTATTTCTCGTAACCACATAACTCAACCCACAGCTCGCAACCAGTACAAAAACAATCGATCTCAATAAGTCCACCAATGAGAAAGGTGCTGCATCGTCATCGGCTGCTAATTTATTAAGTGATTTCTTTGCTTTCTTTTCTGCCGACGGAGAAGGAACCTGAGTCGTGGTTTTGGTGAGAGGAACCTCATCTTCTAGAATATCAATCGAGTTTCGTTTGCGACGTTCACGGAGTGCGTCTGTGTCGGCCATCGTAGATGGATGCTAATACGCGTGTCTTGTAATGTGATGTAGTATTCAGTTGTGTTATAATGGGAAGAAAGGAAAAAGGGTCAAGGGCTTAATGGGAGGGACGAGATGGACAAGTGGCAGGTTCGTTGGAGATAAATTGATATGGGGAAGTTACGGGTCTTGTGTAATAATAGCTTACAGCTTGGAGACACTTTAGCCTCGGAATTGCATAGTAAATGGAGTCGTCGTCATTGGTATTTTTATGGATTTGGAATTGGATTACATTTAGCCTTGGGGTAGACGGGAACGGGAGGGAGTTTTGAGTGGGGGAGTATTGGTCTGCAATTAAGGTTTTTTTTAAGAATTGGACCAAGAAGTGGTAATTGTGGTGATCTCAAAGGCTGAGATGTGGTTGAACTTGGTCCGGGAACTCTTTCCACCGCACTCGCACTCGCATTTTGACTGGATCTGCTGTGTCATGTTCCATTCCTTCAGATTAGTCTGCATCTTCAAATCACATCTCTACCACGGTATCACATATGCAAAATATGGATGAAGACCCATCAGATTTGGCATCAATAAGCAAAAGGCTGAATTCGATACGCTACACCTGCCTGCCTTTCCTAACAAGCCCGAGGAAAAGTCATAATATAAAAACCCATCCGGATATCTCATGCCAAAACGTCCACGTACAATCCATAATCGTAATTTTGGTCGATTATTTCGAAGACGAGGTCATGACCATCGTGTATTGCCTTGATCGTTTTGAAGTTTTCCGATTATTGATTTCTTTACTCGTCGGCTTGGATAGCACGGGCTGTTGAAAGAAATTTTGTTAGCATTTGATTTCTAGATCGTTCTTCTGACACTCCTATGCTGAAGATCATCATTCCATTGGATGGTAATGATTCGACTCGAAAGTTCTTGCGTTGTATCGAAAAAAGATAATATCGGAACGTAGAAGACATACTGTAGATATCACCGGCGTGATGCTTGACAACAATCTTGATTTGTCCCTTCTCCTCCAATTCCTTCAAACATCTTCTGGCCAAAGATCCGTTGATCTTTAATCTATCGACCAAAACAGCGACGGTGACGAGACGGTAGGATTGAACATCTTTGGCGAGTCTGTCGGAAGTGGACTTATCGAGGATGACGGCGTGTTGAGCCTTGTCCTTGACTATAATGATTTTTCATCAGTTTCCATTCGAAAATTCCAGGGCATGGTAAAAATTTAATGCGCACCCTTTCCCTTGGACCACTTCTTCTTTTGCTTCTTTGCGCCGGTGTTTGCTGGTGCCATTTTGTCGGTTTGATGTTGTCGTGAAGAAAATGGATGTTTCTCTCAAGAACAATTCAATAGAGGTGGATTGATTTTTCAATTTAGGGCTTGTGTGTGCCGAGTGGAACAATCGCGCTAGTCTTGACGTAACAATCACGTGATGATATCAGAATAGATAGAAAATTGGAGGAAGGAGAGGAACATGTTCAGAATGGAAACGGAAGGGAATGTGAGAAATATAGTATGTATTGATACGAAAGGCTATGGGTCATAAATCGATCATCAATTGGTACAAATTATGTTGTCAAACTGGTTGTAGTTAAGCATCTTTAAAACGATGGAAACCTTTGAAGGTATGGATATGAACATCAAATACCAAATGACATCCCCTGTCTAAGCAATATTTAAGCAATATTCAAGCAATAGCACTCTACAGTGTTCGCTATCCACGCAGCCCGTCTATAGAAATGCTATTTGGGAAAACCATCAAAGCCTGACATGAAGATTTCAACTTATGAATGGTATAATTATGGGGGCAAGCCCCCAAGCCCCGTTAGGTTGCTGCGCTCGAAGATTCTATCTAGAATCATCATTCGGACGAGCCCGTTTACCGAGAACTCACTATCACTAGGCACCCATAGCAGTATTACAGTACCTAATATATTGTGATTCAAAAGTCTAATCTCCCCATCGATTATCTCAAAAGCCTTGTTCACCATACAACAGGTACAAGGATATTTCAAAATATATTTGTGTTCATATGTCATTGTGGACTCTGTGTATTTTATACCTCTAACCCAGTAAGTTGCCATACATGCCAAATTCCCTTTTTGCTCCGCCGGGCCATGTCTCCAACAAGCCTCATTTATGCAAATGCTTACATATATTGCGCCCACACCATGCCATGTGTTGCTACGTGGAGATGATCCATCATTCGTGAGCAATCCCATTACCGTTCTAATCTAAAAGCTCATCTTTTCCACTGTCAGCACCTATATTACTCTCCGACAACTGTATACTCGATCTCCTACTTCCATCATCCGTGGCTGCTGCGATAGAGATAGCTGCATCCAACCAACTCTGGGATCCAGTCCTGAGAACAAAATATGGGTTGATATCCTGACTGAAATACTTTTCCTTCCTCGTCGTACTTCTTGTACCGCCCTCAAGGGCTGACATAGCTGCTCGAGTTGTTCTCATTCTCTTGGGTTTCGGTGCGATATTACCTCCATTTTGACTGACTAGATTGCTTAGACGTACTCGATCTTTCTGAAGACGTGCATCGTAAGATACTATGGACCTAACGTATGGAGCAACGTCGAGTATAATGAGATTCATAGTTCGATCAAAGCAACATGCTTCAAGATTTCCGGTGGTCCAAACATATGTCTTTTCGGACTCTGATATAGGATCAAAAGCCAAGCTCAAATCGCGGCGAGTAATAACATTCTCATGAGGACGTGATTGAGACCGGATAAGGCCTTGAACTTGTTTCTCGGTCGGTCCATCCAGCTCTCGGTGGATTTCCCATCCATGTTCAACATGTTGACGAATTTGAAGAACTTCCCTAGCTCGAGATTTCATCCAGAATGATATGTTGATACTTGTCTCGTCAAGAGTGATTTGCGGCGATACGTCCAGTAACTGATTTGCCATAGTGTAATCTTCTCTTGCTTTGCTAGACATTTTTGGGTAACTTGCATCAATCGTAACCTTATTTCATTAGCAACGAGTAGATGTAATGCAGATAGATGAAAACTTACCTGATAGTCTGCGCCGAAGCTATTATGCGAGAAACAATCTGTAGCACTCATAGCTTCGGCAAAGTCATCGTACATTGCCAGAGCAGCTCGCCTGGTGGCCCGCTCATTGGTGCAATCCGCGATCTTGTCCGCCCAAGTACTGATGTTTAGATTTTGTTGCCAGTCGCCTACATCGATACCCCAACCATTCCAGGCTTCATGCAAGGTCTCTTCCTCAATGTCGATGTAAGGTCGTTGGCTCTCGAGGGTGTCCTGAGAAATCCAGCCCATGCCAGTCTGATAAGTATCTTCGCTAACTACGCGATACTTTTTACCATACTCATCTAGATCGCATCCCAACGGTAAACGAGGATAAAACCACTCCATTCCAGCTTTACGATCTCCAACTGCAAATTGACACCAGAACTCCAACTCTGTCAATGAACCACGTAGGTCTGACGCTCGACTTTCATATAACGCCTTCACAGCGTCACGACGAATAGCATGACCTTCATTGGCTGCTACGAGTAGCATGTAATCAACCGCAAGATCGGTAGGCACTGTAGTAAAGCGAATAATTGCATGTAGAGATAGAGCAAGAATTGGCACCGCAGCCTCATCGTTACAAGTCATGATAATTGGTCGCTTGCTCTGGGCGATCAGGAGCAAAACTGTTTGCCAAAATCCTCTATCCTCCTCAAATAGAACATCAACTTCTTCGAGTAGTATCAAGGATTGTTGCTGTTTCTTTGGCGGCCCTTTTGGAGCGACTATATCTTTGTTGATGTCCGTTTTGGGTGCAGTTTGCTCAGCATCAGTACTCTCAGGTTTTATCTTTGTCGGTTCTTTGGATGTGAAGAATGGCTTCATCATGCCCGGGCGACCATTTTCTAAATCTTCGGCTATATCATTGGATGGACGTTCTTCATTGTCATTCTGACTTTTCGGCTTTGTTGGTGCTTTGGATGTAAAAAATGAGTTCATGATGCCCTTGCTTTTAGATTCTGGCTTGATGGGTGCTTTTGAAGTGAAGAATGAGTTCATGGTACACTGACGGCCGCTCTTCACTTCTTCAGCCACAGAGTCGAATGAATTTTCTTCATCCTCATTCGCACTCGAAATCTTATCAACTTTGGATCTTTGAACTAGATGGTTTCGAGTCATATCTCCAACTTTATCCATCACTTCTTTCCCGCTCCTCTTGGAATTTGGATTAATTTCGAAGACTTCGAATCCAAGTTCTTTTGCAACAGCAAAGACCGTGGCAGACTTGCCACATCCGTGCGGTCCACTCAAAACAACTGCATTGGCCAGGCGCTTGGAATCTTTAGAGCCTTTCGCATTCAAATCACCAGAACGTATTACTGTTTTTTTGACCAAACCTGAACCTCCTAACAAATCCCCATCTTCCGGCTCCGTTATTTCATCCATTTCGTTGTCTTCCTCGCCTTCAGATACTATAAAATTATCCGGCTTTTTCGATTTTCGCTTCCTTTTCCCAGATGGTTCGGTTTTTGACGAGGCAGATTTCTTCGTAACTTTACTTTCAGCGGAACCTGACTCTACTGACATTACTGTTAATTTTTGTAACCACTCTTTCAATATAAAGGCCTCTCGCCCAGTCTGTAAGATCTCCTCCGCACTTCTTGGTGCATACTTTTGTGTCCAAGATAAATTTTCGCATTCAGCCTTGTCAAATGCCGATAACGAAGTGACAATTGAGTTGTAAACGTTTGTGAGAGCGGGATGGACATTCGAGTTCCTTTTCTCTGGCTCCTGGAGTTCGTCATCGCTCAAATCATGATTTACAACTGGTCTGCTGGGTTTTGATATAAGTTCTTTTCGTACTCGACACTGGAGGCTCGGGCCTGTTTCGATATGTTTGGATGGTACTCGGAGGCAAGGAGAAACTGGGGCGAAATCATGAATATGAAGGTCGTGGATGCTATTAATTGTCTCATCAATTCGTAACCTTGCCGTAAAAGTGTTGATAATGT